CAAACGTCTACCTTGAAACTTTAATGACTTGGAGAGGATCTGCAAAGAGGAATGGGACAAAATCCCTCCTGAGACATGTGTATATCTGGTGGCCAACTACAAGAAACGTCTGATCTCTGATTGCCAAAAAGGGTTTTGCCATAAGAACTAAGTCATGTTTTGTGTAGGGTCAAATACTTATTTCACTCATTAAAATGCAAATCAATTTGTAATTTTTTTGAAATGCATTTTTCTGGAATTTTTTGTTATTCTGTCTCTCACTGTTAAAATAAAACTACCATTAAAATTATAGACTGATCATTTCTTGTCAGTGGGCAAACATACAAAATCAGCAGGGGATCAAATAATTTTTTCCCTCATTGTTATATGGTATGGGGGAATCCCAGTGGTGTAGAATTGAGCTGGGAGTAGCACAGAATTAGGAGTTTGTCTTTGGTCTTTGCTAGAAAAATCCACTTGGAAATTTGTTTTTAGCTGAAAATGCTGGAGTTTAGAAACCATAATGATTTCAGCCTTCCTGGCTTCTGAGCTCTGACTTTATGGGAATGGACACTTACCTGTAGATTGTTGTCTCCTCCCAAAGAATGAATAAATTCGCTATATAAATCACATATAACAACTTCTATCTACTTCCCATCCCCCCAAATTCACTCTGCTGGCTAATACAAAACCATTTATGAAAGTACATTTTTCTGTAGAATGGAAGTTGCTATTTGTGGAATCTTGTATATGCCTCAAATATGAAATCACTTGGGTTCAAGGATTCCAGTTTATTAGCACAAGTAAATCACACATGTTGAGTCAGTCTTTGCAACTTTGGATCACTTCTGAATAAAAGGCAGATGATGATCCTTCTCTTCCACTTTCTCCTCCTCCCCCTTCTGCTATTTGGCCTCTAAAGGGGAAGGTTTTTCTTCAAATAGTGCTTGACCCTTGGTGACTTCACAGACCCCTTCATTTACTTGTCATGGCAGCAATACAGAAGTGATTTTGCCACAAATTTATGAAAAGTAGCTCAGACTCAGCAAGATAAAAGGGGGAAAATGTTTATTGTGGATATATACTTTCTGTCCGGAGCCCCAGTATCCTAGAGCAGTGGTGGCGAACCTATGACACGGGTGCCAGAGGTGGCACTCAGAGCCCTCTCTGTGGGCACACACACTGTCTCCCTAGCCCCACCTCCTTCCATGCCCCCCTCCTCACCAGCAGCCCCCCCGGAGGAGAGTCGCCCCTGGGAGCAGCTCACACGAAGCAGCGCAGCCAAGGACGTAGTGCCCAGGCAGCGGGGACAAGATTCCACCCTTGTGCCTCATTGCACGCAGATGATGCTGTGGGGCATGGGTGAGGGCGTGGCCGCCATGGTGCTGCTAGGCTGCCTGGGTGATCTGTGGTGGGCCGTGGAGGTGGTGGGTGACCCAGTGGGCAGGGCGGAACGGGGAGGGGGTGGGGGGGCAGTTTTTGGGCACTCAGTCTCTAAAAGGTTCGCCATCACTGTCCTAGAGAGTCTAGAACTGCCAGTTCAACTTTTCCATGTTTGCTTGGTGACACTCAGTTGCAACTCTTACTTGGCTAGACAATTTGCCCTTTCCAAATGGCATATTTTTACAAAATTAGGATATAAACTTTGCCATCTAGTAGTTGATTGGTTCCAGTTCAGTGTACATGAGAGCTATTCAAGCTGCCTTTATTCATGTATGAATTACCTTAGTCAATACTGTACACAAGGATGTTGCATAATGCTTGCATAACAAATCAATCCCTAATTGTTTATGTCTTTGAGTGATTTCACAATCATCTATGTGTGTATGAGGAGTACAATGTTTTAAAAAGTAAAGACACTTTCAAAATTATTTCATTTCCCTGCAACCACCTCCAGTTATTAATTTTAGTAATATACAACTATGAGATAAAATAGAAATCCATCACACAGTTTCTGAAACAGGATCCATCCAACACCAACAAAGCATTTCCTTTAGTAATCAGGGTAAAACATGCAGTTGGAAAAACAAGTATCTAAATGGCCCCAGGCTGGTTTCAAATTTCTTCCTTGATAGTTGAATTGAAGGTGAAAATCTTATAAATCTTTACAGACACATTCCTTTAAATTAAAAAACAGAAACAAGCGTGTTTTTTTTCATCCTCTTTTCCTTTGAACTAGCTAGACTTGTCATTATTTCCTTGCATGAATCTAAGATAAATTCATATCTTAAAAATCAAGCTGTTTTTAAAAGTACAAGTTCCAATTCATTAAACAAAATCTTGTCACGCATCAGCAAACGGACCTGAACAGGAAGAGCAATGGGAATTCCCATTCAGAGCACGAGTGATGTTATCTGCTTTGCTCAGTGGTGAATAGCTGAGCCAGTGAAATATGTGAAAAAAAAAGAGCTGGCAAGAAACAGATGTTTATCCAAATTACACAAGGTGACTAATTCAGAGGGGCAGAGTTCCCAGAAGTTGGGTGAACTTTGCATCATCAGCTGATCAGACATGTGAATAATCTAAGTCACTAGAGGAATGTTTCACCTAATTTTTCACATGACAGTGGCTCATGTGAACAAAACTGTTTTTGCTGCTGCTTTAGTTTCAGAATCCTGGACAGAAGTGTGCAACTTTTTCTGGATCAAAGGTCAGACATGTCCTCTGGATAATCTCCTGGGACATGCTCCCAGACAGCCATGATCGAGGCCAGGACAAAAATGGGATCTGATATGATTTTCTTGATATTTATAGTCAGTAAGTTATATATAGTTTATATGATTATATTCCAGTCATGGATGTAATAGTCTTCTCTTTTTTGTCTTGTAAAAATGATATTTGCTAACATTTTGAAATCTCTTAGAAGAGGGGGCCCCTTCCGTACCGTGACCTGTTTGAAATCAGTTGTGGGAGAGAGATGGGCAAGTGTGCATACATGAAGCTTCACTCATGTGAGCGGTGGGCAACTGCACATGCGAAGCTCCACTTGTGCAAGTGGAATTTTGTGCATGAGCCCAAGTGCCCTCTGCTCATGCTCACACAAATGGAGCTGTGCGTCCATGTGTGCTTGCCACTCAACATGCGGCCTCCCCCCCACACTGGGCGGGCCCGACAAGCTGGAAAGGTTGGGGACCGCTGTCTTACAACCTCACTTAATGCTTTTGGGGGCTGCCTGAGACTGGGGCAACCTCAGTTCTGGTCTACAGAACATTTCATAGCCTTCTTCATTTGATAGTCATCTTGAAACACCTTAATCTTGTGTCAGAGATTTTCCCTTTATGACAATTTGCAAAAGATACACATTTGCATACAATTTGCACATGCTGATTAATGTTAAAGTATAATAAAACTAAATAGAAAGCTATTCATTGACACAATGAACATGAATTTGGCAAACTCCAGGAGACAGTGGATAGTAGAGGTGTCTGGCATGCTATGATCTTTGGGATCACAAAGAGACACAACTAAGTGACTGAACAATAACAAAGAAAGCTAACAGATATCAGCATAATAAGATACTGTACACCTTCTCATTGTACTTTCTAAATCAAAGATAAGTAACCTCTAGGTCCTAAAATCTCCTTATGAGGCCATTGGAAACCATCTCACCATGACTCTTGGAAACTTAAGGCACATTTTCTCACAATTTTAAATTAGGAAACACTGAAAAACTATACTTAAAGCCCTAACATAGGTTTACAGTTAGCAAAACAAAGGACATAAGCCTCTCTTCAAAACTGTTCCAAACACATGTGATGTAGCCCCAGTTTGCAGCCTTCACCCTCAAAAATTTGAAGTGGCCCTTGGTCTCCCAAAAACAGTCCCTCCAAGTCTAAATGCTTGAAGCTGGGAATAGCCAGCTTCAAGGCCTTTTTTTTTTTTTTTTAAATGATCCTGGTTTCTGATCTTTACATTGCCCTTAGACTAAATAGACATTTAAACAGAGCATTTCAAATAAAACTGAGACATCTTCAAAATTAATTGTCCTCTATTAAGTACAACAAATTATCACAGCCTTATCCTCTTGGTTAGTTTATATTTTTCCTATTCTATAAGAACCTGTCTTGCTTTTATTTCCAAGCAAAAACAAAGAGAATTGCTATACTGTCTGAAAGCACAGTTAGATCTAGAAACATGGCAGTCAAGGTTATTTCCCATGACCAGAAAAGATTATCTTGGCATAAGTTCATCACATGAAGAAAAGAGAAAGACTTGGTGTTCAGTTTCCACACACTTCCCTGCTGTGACTCATACAGAAGCCAGGCCAGGTCATAGATTGTTTAGTCCAAGCAGAGTTTGGGCTGTTCTAGGACTGACCCCCAGCAATCAATTTGGGCATGAAGCTATGGTACATGGTGTTCATGCAGCTGGATGCAGTGCTTTGGACTAGCTCTTCTTGATTGCTCCTCTCCCCTCTCCTCTCCTCTTGCTTAGGACTCCTACCTGTCCATTCTCTTTGAAGTCCCAGATTGTTTTTGTTCCCTTAGATTACACTTCAAATCTAGAGCCCAGGGATTGATAGCTTGGTAGCTCTAGATACCACTCATCCTAAGGATATTTCCCTTAATATCCCACTATGCTTCCCATCCCTAACTTGTTAAAAAGATTCCATAAATAAATGGAAAGCTGCCATGTTGCCTAGTTTGAAAATGTGTCCACTTGTCCAGAAAAATAAAAATGAGAAAGAGAACTGTGGGATCAAAACATCCTATGGCAGTGGTGGGATTCAGCCAGTTCGCACCACTTCGGCAGAACTGGTAGCTAATTTTTTGTTGCTCAGGCCCAGAATGGATTTCCAGAAGTGGCATCCACACAGAGAACCGGTTGTTCACATATTTGAATCCCACCACTGTCCTATGGGATTACAAGAATCAACCTCATTAATTTTGTCTTCTGGAAAATGAGCATTTTGTGAGTTACCTTGGCTTGCCAGTTTTCACAGCTAGTCATTATGTAAGGTGCTCCCAACATTTTATACATTTATAGTCAACCCCAAAATTATTTGCTGGTACTAAGGAATATTTAAAGAAAATTTATATCTTTTTAATGGCAAAGTTGAGAATGATAGAAATCAAGCATATTTGGGAGGAGGAATGTCTTCAGACAACACATGATTTATCTTATAAACTCACACAATAATGCAGAATTATTTGAAGAGATAAGATAGTCCATACAAGTAGCCACATCTTTTCCAGACCTTGAGTACAAAAGATTATCTTGTGACCTTCTAAGCTGCTTTACCAGACTGATATAAGAGGACATGTCTGGGCGAGTAAAGCCTTTCCACTCCAAAATCTTTGTTAATATAGTTTCCATTACCTTAAAATACACAGTACAAATCAAGAAAATAAATAGATTTCTAAAGGTCTTCTTGGAGCACAGGTCTCGTGAAATGGTATGGTAAGTGTTGTGTCCTGAGCCTGCAAAAGCAGGCTTGGGACATTGCTATGGTCCCGGGGTTGCTGCAAGCTGCCCGGGACCAGACTGAGCGGCGCCAGCCTTGCACGCATGCGCGAGGTGCAAAAGCGCGCCAGTTACTGTAACTGTTTTGCCTGGGAATCTGGACACTAAATAAGAGGCCTGCGAGCCTCACAGTTGTTGTTGGAGTTAGCAGAGGAGAAATAAAGAGCTGTTGATTACAGAATGCGTGCTCGTTTTTCGCCATTAACTCGAGGACTTAACAGTAAGGATGACACATTTCTCAATATCAGGTTTAAAAGAAATAATACATCACTGGAAGGTACACTTTTTGTGTGGCAAAAAAGGCCTCTTACACTGAGACGTCAATATGTCAGTCCAGCAGAGCTTCCTAATGAAACAATTGATTTCAGGCTCTGCCAGAGCAGTTTAGCATCTTAACTAATCAATGGTAAGCCGAACAACTGCCAAAATTGGATGCCAACCAAGATAGACAGGGAGGCAGATAGATATAGGTATTCCTTGGTTAACAGCAGCAAATGGGACCAGAATTTCTATTGCTGAGTGTGACATCGTGTGATGGCAATCCTGGCACTGCCCTTAGTTATTGTTTGATGAGGATTGCAACTTGCTAAGTGGGTCCCAGGGGCCTCACAAATAGACCAAATAGACCTGGAAGGGGAGGACATGTAAGTAGCCCACAAGGCACAGTGCAAGTGCAGGGAGGCTGCTGGATGGGGGATGGTGAGCGGGAACCAGGTGGGAGAGGTGTGAAAATGACCACAGTGACTTGTAACATTCCCTGCCAGCTTCCCCATTGACTTTGCTTGTGGGAAGTCAACAAGGGAGGTTGCAAATGGTGACCACATGACTGTAAGATGCTGCAACCATCATAAATGCAAACAAGTTGCCAAATGCTCAGATCAGTATCAAAACTTCAAGGACCAGTTGCAAGTACAAGTCATTCAGCAACATCACAACTTCGAATTATTGCTGAATGAGTAGTCCTTAAACAAGGAATGCCTGTAGATAGATAGGCTGTATAAATCAACATTACGTGATGCCAGATAATGCATCACAAACCCATATGCGAAAACTATCATCCTCTTGTGCTAACACACAAGGTTCAGCTTCTCATGGCCAGGTTATGTCTGACTTTGTATTGTTGTGGAGAGCTCGGAAGGGCCACATTCTGTACCCAGAGGAAATGTACAGAGGACCAACAGTAGAAGAAAACAACCATTCCTCAAGTCAACTGTTTTTTCATAGTCGCTATCATAATGACTATGAGGAATCCTATGGCAGCTTAAAGACACAAATAAATGAAGTGGTCTGTGATTTATGAAAACTTTTGTTATAATAATGTTCTTTTACTTGGCCCTCTCTACTCTTGTCATCTCTTCTTATGTAGAGTTAGACTCTGGCACACACATCTGATCTGACTGCCAACAGTTCACCCTAGTTTTTAACAGGTATCGTTGTCAGTCTTATATAGAGGGTTTGGCATGCAAAGGTAAACTTTCTATTTTGGGCATATAGTTCTTCTCCTTGAAGAAGTAAATTATTGATGCAAAATTGCTTTCTGTTACACTCCTGAGAATGCATTTATGAACAATAATGATGAATTTTGGAGGAGACATGGAATGAACACATTTCTACATTAATTTATGGCCATATTCTTGATTGTCAATTTTATCTTCATGGCAAATTATTTTGTACCTGGAAATATAAAGATGGGTGTGAATTGGCTGTGATACAATATGTGCAACTAGAGAATATAACAAAGACATAGAATATGAGAGACGGTCACTCAGATTTTTTTTTGTTAATATCAGTAGATACTATATTGATACACTGAGATTTTATGTAAGTGCATAGACATCTACAGCATCCCATGACAGTTTACCATTAGATGGGCATTGTGGGCCATCTCAGGAGGGATATGTGAGAATCTAATCACTCTGAGCTGCTTAATTCATTATTAATTTTTGTACTACTAAAGAAAAATCCAATACATTTGGATTTTCTGTCACAGCCATCAAAAATGACTTGCGCCCTTTCTGTTATACACTGAGGAGATCCCAAAAGTGCTTTTTGAAGAGGCAACTGGATTTCCTTGTTTTTCTTTGAAGACATTTTGCTTCTTATCCAAGAAGCTTCTTCAGCTGTCAGAGAGCAAAACATCTTCAAAGAAAAACAAGAAAGTCCAGTTGCCTCTTGAAAAAACATTGGATCTGGATGACTGAGAATCTCCATAAACCCTGAGGAGAAGATGCTACAATGCCTAACAATCTGCCAGGAGGTCCATAACTTCAAGGCTATTTACTTTGTGCCAGGGAATCTGGCACTAATGCTACATCATTCATTCACGGATTGAGGCGCTAAACTACTATTCAAGTGGTTTTTTTCCTTCCAAGAATGAACTTTCCTGGGATATTCCATTTATGACTGCAAATGAATTCTGTCAAGTAAATGCCCCAGAGGAGGATTGCACACACTATCCATGTCACCATCCAGATCAGAAACTGCATTTTGGAGAACTTCTGCTGATGGAAGAGATGGTTTGGAAGAAGAAACATCTAAACCAAGTTTGCTTCAGGAGAGCAGCCTTACTGCTACAAGGCATCTGTGTCCTTGATAACAGGAACTGGTGACTCTTCTCCACCAAGTTGTTTATAAATAAAGTAGAAAGTCAGCCTGGGTTCTTTATTCAAGAGATGGGATTTGATCTGATGAGGGAGGGCATCATCATCCATCTGCATAGTTTTGTTATCAACTTGAACAAACAGCCCATAGTCCTGGGGCTTTAAGACTTCAAATTTCTCAGCGCACTGCTGAATCAGCTGATGAGTCGTGGAATCGGTCCGATATGCCAGTGTCCTTGTTTCGGCATCAGCCGCCATAAAAGAAATTGCAATGAAATCCTGGAAACAAGGAATATAACTTTTGAAATAACATCAATACTCATCAGGACACTGTTAAAATACAACCCTATTTATGCATAAAATTCCTGTCCAGCCACTTCACCACCAAAAAGCGGGATGCAATTCATTAAAAATTAACAAACTGCTTTTAATAAATTTCTAAAAGCTAAAACAGAAATAGTACTATGGTAAAAAGATGGTTTTAAAGATTAAAAAGATGGAAGAAAACGTTAAAATATGGGACAAGTATATAAGAGTAGGCTGCAGAGCCTCAGCAGTATCAGCTTTAGTACAAGCCTGGATTAAGATAGTTAAATAATTGAAAGTCAGGTCCTGCAAGGAAATGTGGAAAGAGTTAATGATTTTTAGTTATATGATCTGAGGAAGCAGAGAGTGTGTTGGATTTCTTCAAAAGATTAAAGATTCTCACATGTTCTAAGTTTTAATGAAACTAAGTAATGAATGCTTTTCCATGAAGAAGGCCCCAGATTTAACTCCACTTCTGACAGGGCTGGGAAAACTTCCTTCCTGAAACTTTGGGGCAGGGGAATTCCTTTGCAGGAAAGCAGCCAAAAAGTATACAGGTAGTCCTCATCTTACAACAGTTTGTTTAGTGACTGTTCAAAGTTACAACAGCACTGAACAGGGACTTATAACTATTTTTTACACTTACGACTGTTGCAGCATCTCCAGGGTCACATGATCAAAATTCAGACACTTGGCAACTGATTCACAGTTATGATGGTTGCTGTGTCCAGATGTCATGTGATCCCTTTTGCGACAAGCACAGTCAATGGGGAAGCCAGACTCACTTAACAACCATGTTACTAACTTAACAACTCCAGTAATTAACTTAACAAATGTGGCAAGAAAGGTAAAAAAAAATGGGGCAAAACTCATTTAACTACTGTCTCGCTTAGCAACAGAAATTTTGGGCTCAATTGTGGTTGTAAGTCGGAGACCACCTGTATTGTAGCTTTTAAAATATAAATTTTTATATATAATTGACAGTTTAATATCTGTTAAAGTTAAGAGAAGAGTATTTTAAGAACATTGGCCTCTTAGAGTGTTGATTATCAGGACTTTATTAATATCATCTGTTTACATTTAGAGATGTTGCTGTATTTTCTCTGAACTAAAAGAAAGTCAGAGGTCATCTTCGTTGGAAATTTGGTTGCTGTATTTTTTTCTGTCGCTTTTACTTTGTATTGTTATTCCATTCTCCCACCTCCCTTTTAGGTTACTTTATATTTTAATGTTTGATCTTGAAATTTAATATTTAACAAGGGGGAAACAAAAGGAACTGCTAATCAGGATAGACAATACATAGCAAGATAGGCAAAGGGTCTCCAGCCTGGGATAAAACTATTTGTTTTGGTCAAATTCCTCGTAGTTTGCAAAGATTTGGGATCCAGAAGGCAACTTTCGATTGTAATATCTGAAGAACTATTTACAATGGGTACAGGTAGCACAAAAGCAAGACACCCCCTGGATACAGATATGCTCAGCTTCTTATTTGAGAAAAACAATGTTTGCTGCCACCTTGAGGTTGAAACCTTAAATACTAAACTGCATTAGGGCAGCTCAAAAGTTACAAATACAGTAGGTGTTATTGAGTCTGGTGTTGTAATGGTTGCACCAACAGATGCTTACTGTTTTTTTTTTATTAACAACAATGCATAACTATTCTAAGGACTTTTGATCAATTGCATTGATACTATTCATCAGCCTTATCCATTGTTTTTCCAGGCTGTGCAGTGCCTTGGTTTCAAAGGCAAAAAGGCATTTCAGACCATGCAGTTGATGCTCACGTAAGACCAGGTCTTTTTTTTGTTATAGAATGCATGGAACAGCATTCCAGCACCTTTTTTCTGACGGATTTTCAACTTCCATAGAAATACTAGTGAAGGTGGCTTTTCACTTAGCTCACGCTGCTTTGGGGAAAAGACCCCATCTTCTGCTGCTCCTAACAGGGGAACAGCATGTGGTTAGCCCCAGGGCACAACTCGTGTGCTTGCGCCTGCCAAACTCGGCTGTTGTCTCCTGAGGGGAGGGGGGCATCCCTTGGAGGCAGCATGCGCTGCACCCCCAAGAAACATTTTTGCTACCAAATTTTTGAAGAAAGAAGACAGAGCTTTGAGCGCTATTATAAATGCGCTGTTGCTATACGTGATCTTCACTTTCATGGAGTTTTACTTCACGAAAAAGATTCAAAAAAGGATCCTCCCATTGGCCCAAGTACATTTTATACAAAATTGAAAGAGTCAATTGAAAAAGATTGCTTGATAGCAAAGACGATGAGTTGGCGTATAGCTCTCGCATACTTGATCAAAAACATTGGCCTGAAGATGTTAATATTCAACTGACATTTGGAGAAGTGGAAATTAGAAACTTGTCAACCAGACTGCAACTAAATGAAAGAGAAATGATTCGTGGATTCTGTGAATACATTCTCAAAAAGACATATCCAGAAAAACTGTTGCATTTGATACAGACTCCCATTTTTTCAAGTGAATGAAATGATTCGTGGATTCTGTGAATACATTCTCAAAAAGACATATCCAGAAAAACTGTTGCATTTGATACAGACTCCAATTTTTTCAAGTGAATGCGAACGTGGGTTTTCACAGATGAATCTAATTGCCACCCTAACAAGAGCTTCATTGAAGATTAAGACAATTTCAGCACTTTTGTTCATCAAACTTGTCGGACCACCTCTGAGACTTTTCTATCCTTCAAAGTACATTGATCTGTGGTTACTCGGAGAATGAAATTCGGCCATAGATACTAACAGCAAGGAAAGGAGTCGGGAAGATTTGCCGGATGAGAATTGGACAAAATTTTTGGAATTTACTATGAACATTTGCCTTAAATAAAATAAATTAAATTTATGTTAAGAATTGAATATATAATTTTTTTAAATAAAAGATTAACAAGATGTGAGTTCTGGCACCTTTTTTTTTTTTTTAACAAAAAAAGCACTGGATAAGTGCTCTAAACTCCTTCGAAGCAGTGCCATCTTTACCCAAAATTGGGTAAATCTTTCTACCTGCAATGTGGCCCCAGGAAAAGATGCATTTAAGGGGTTGCTGATAGGACTTTAACAGAATAACAGAAAAAAGAGGGGACCTTGGAGTTTTTCTAATTCAATTCTCTCTACCTTTATGGACAATGATGGAGTACACCCACAATCTCTGGAGGTAAGCCGTTCCAATAATTAATTGTTCTCATTGTTAGGAAATTTCTCCTTAATTCTCAGTTGGATTTTTTTCCATAATGTTCCATCCATTACTTCTTGTCTTGCCCTCAAGTGTTTGGACAATAGGTTGACCCCCTCTTCTCTGTGATAGTCCCTTAAATATTGGAGGACTGCTATCATGACACCCCAATCCTTCTCTTTATTAGACTAAACATACCTAGTTTCCACAATCATTCATTGTACAGTTTTGCCTTGAGAGCTCTAATTTTTGTTCCTTGTCTCTGCACTCTTGCTAGAACCTTAACCTCTATTTGCCTTCAGATCAAAAGAATATTGCAGCCCTATTGTTCCCCTTTTATTCCTTTGATATAGTTAACTATGATCACTTTTTTCCTAGTCTATCATCTTGCCAATTATATATCTTTCTGCTGATTATTGCTGATCATTGCCTTGAGGACAGCAATAGGCTTTTATTTGACCCATGACTCATTGATTGGCTGCTTGCAGTCCATGATTTCTTAGGAACCATTTGCACTTCCATTATCCATCCTTTTCTCTGACTCTTTTTCAATGTCAGTCTTCATTTTATTTTATTAAATTTATAAGCTGTCCATCTCACTGTCCAAAGCAACATGATACCATAGAATTGTTTTAATTATTCTAACTTTCTTTGTCACTGAAGTATCCTTATATTTTACAATCTAGTCCAGTGGTTCTCAACCTTTTTAATGCTGTGACCCCCAACCGTCGTAAGTCAAGGACTACTCAACTGGTGCAGCACCGTTTGCAGAATGGGACTTTTGGTGGGCTCAGCAGGGCAGAGACAGCCTGGACAATTCCTATTGGCTTTTGAAAGCCAATAGAATTAGACTCTATTCAAGAGAGTCTATTCTATTGGCTTTCAAAAGCCAATAGAATAAAAGGGAGTAGCACAGCTAAGGAAAAGGGGAAAAAATGGCGGACTGCGTTGTTTGGCGACCCCCGTGAAATGGTCGTTTGACCCTAAATGGGGTCCCGACCCACAGGTTGAGAACCACTGATCTAGTCTAAGTTTGTTGTTGTCTTCCTCCAGTTGTAAAATCATACTTAGCGTTTTTTAATACAACGTTCCTTAGTATATGTTCAGCATATAGGTTGAATAAATAAGGGGAGAGTGTACTGTACAGTCATATCACACTCCTTTGCCAATCTGGAGCCATTTTGTTTCAACATGTTCTGTCCATACTGTGGCTTTCTGGCCTACAGTATATATATTTGTTTATCACGAGGACAATAAGATATTCTTGGATTCCAATTTTACTGGGCACTTTCCACAGCTTGATATGACTGACACAATCAAAGGCCTTTCTATAATCAATGAAGCACATAATGACTTGTTTTTGGTACTTTTTTCTGAATTATCCAACATGCATCAGCAAGAGTGCCTTACATTCCTTGGTTTTTTCTAAAACCAGCTTGAACATCTGGCATCTCTTTTTCCATGCAGAGCTCTAATCTGCTTTGGATGATCCTAAGCATTATTTTGCTACCATGTGGAATTAAGGATATTGTACAATAGTTTGCATACTCTGTTAAGCGTCCTTTTTTTTGGAAATGGGATGTAGATTGACCTATCTTCCAGTCTGCTGGGCATTCTGTTATTCTCCAGATATTGTTGGTATAGCTCGGTTAGAGCCTTCACCGATTCTTCTTTTGTTGCATGCCTCTTTTGGCTGGCATTCTATCAGTTCCTGTAATCTTCTGCTCTATTAATGACCAGAGAGCTGTTATAACTTGATCTTCTAGTATTAGATGTTCTTGTAAATAAGGAATATCTTCTGAAATATCTTGGATTTTGACATCTTTACCATAATACGCAATACTGCACCGTGCTTCATTATATTCCTTTCATCTTCCTTTAGTCTCCTTTGACTTGGTTATTATCTGCCCACTGGCTTAGTTCAAGGTGTGCTAAACCTTTTTCTGAATTCAAACATCTTTAAAAAGTTTTTCCTTGTTTGTTAATGTCTGTTTCGATCTTCAATGTCTTTGCCATTGTTTTTATAATAGCAATAGCACTTAGACTTATATAATGCTTCACAGTGCTTTACAGCCCTCTCTAAGCAGTTTACAGAGTCTGGGTCCTCATTTTACCGACCTCAGAAGGATGGAAGGCTGAGTCAACCTTGAGCTGGTGAAGATTGAACCTCTGGCAGTCAGTAGAATTGGCCTGCAGTACTGCATTCTTACCATTGTGCCATCACAGCTCCTTTAATTTGAGTTTTATTTATTTCCCAAAGCTCTGCTGGTTAGGGCTTATGCCTTACAAATTGTTAAAAAGAGTACTACCAACTCTTTCTGCTTTTAAACTCTACTGGAAACTTTGCTCAGGGAAGATATGCAATTCTTTTAAAGCCGACTGAGATGATCAATGCATAAAACAAAAGATCCATGCTCTCCTAACCTGAACAGATGATCGAGATGCCCGGGCCTTGTTAAGTGTTCTCCGTCTCTCCCAGCGGTGGATTGAATCTTGAACTTCAGTGCTTAGCTGTCGAGTGACTGCAATCTTATCATAGCTTTTGATAAGCTCTACTGCCCCATAGGTAGTGATTAAATAATAAGAACCTAGGAAAAATGAAGAAGCATAAACTTAAACTGAGCAAATTTTATTCCTTTGCACCTTATTTTACTACTGCCAAATAGCTACTGGTTATATAATGGCTATATAAATGATTTGAATTAAACCAACCAACCAACAAAATTTAAATATGGAAGGGAGTATTTGTGAAAATATAGCATGAACATCTGGGAGATCACTCTGGTTGGAATTGAGAGATACTCAGGCTTGGTTTCTAACCAATTCACTGGGTTTAAGAAAATGAAATTGTAATGAGAACTGGACAACAGATGGCACTCTTACAACAGACAGGAAAGAAAGGTAAGAATTGATGGGCACTGATATATTCATCTACCAATCTCTTTTGGGAAGTAACCTTATATTGTTTTTATTACAGAGATTTTTCAGTTTTTTAAATTCTGATATTTTGCATATTTGTAACCTTTTGATTGTCCTTACAAACATGTTATAAGGACACGTTAAGACACATTGAAGGAGACATTAAATCCTTGTTGCATTTGTCATTTCAAATAGCACAAGGAGCTGCATTCTCTCCTGTCTGTCTTCCTTAAATCAGCACTCTATTTTCTCCTTCCAAATTATTTCATTTAATTCCAGAGATGCAAATATTTCCATAATATTTGGCAAACAGTTTTGAAAAATCTCCATCCCAACTATTTCCTCATTCTTTGAACATTTCCCTCTTCTTTTTATAAATTGAGTTTGTGCCCCTCCATCTGGACGCTGCCTAGCATTTTTGCAAATATTGCTGAAGGGGAAGTAAAGGAGTATTTTTAGCCTTGTCCAACTTAGTATTGCATTATCTACATATTAAATTAAGTGTCCTCTTGCATGTGAAAACAACTCCCCAGTATGCAAATATAGCTGATGTACTGTATGTCAGGAGTCCCCAACCCCCAGTCCATGGACCCCACTGGGATGCGGCATGCCAGAAACTGAGCTGCACAAACAAGAGAAGCCCCATCTGCAGGATGCAGGCAGCGCATGAAATCACACCCTCACTGGGTTCACAGAAAAACCTCTCTCCATGGAACCTGTCCCTGGTGCCCAAAAGATTGGGGGCCACTGCTGTATGTTTATGCAACATATCTTTGTTCATTGATACACTTACATGCCCACCACCAACAAATACTCTACAGCTGACAACACATCAAGCCAGACAAAACATATTATAAATATGCAAAATATCACAGCTAATAAGCAAAAAAAACCCTCCTTCCAGCTAATAACTATAGAGCAAGACTAATCCTCAAAGAGAGATAAAAAAAAGGAATCTGTATAAGAATATTTAATATCTATTCATTCTTACTCATCTTTTTCTCTTTTTCTCCTCTTTTATTTTTTTAAATGCATTAATATAATTATTTTTGTATGAGAATGTAAGGTATCTTCCATGTGGCTCTCTCTTAATTTTATTCATAGAAACAACTCTGTGAGGTATGTTGGACTAAGAGAGAATGACCAACCTCAAGTCACTTAGTTTGATAGAATGTGAAGATAGGTTTTTGTAATTCCAGGCTAATCTGTTAACTTCTCTTACTACTAAACTATTCCTCCCAAATCCATGCCTTGTGGTTATCTGGGCTGTAGCCACCCAGGTATAGTAGCCATAACTCAACTATTGCAAAGAGAAAATATCAGACATGTCTGTATTTCTGCCAGCCTGGCAGGTTTTTGTTGTTGTGATCATTATTTTCAGAAGAAAGATCTGTTTTCAGAATACACTAGCTGAAGCTGTTGGGAGAGCCACTTACAATTTCCCGAAAGGAAGCTGTATTTGTACTTCTACAGTGACAACAACATCCTGAACGGAATATTAGAGACTAACAGGGAAATCTATACAAGGAAATACAGGGAAATAAACTGTTTAAAACTTAGTGAGATTTCTTCCTGAATAGAAAAGAACAGGATTGTTTGCTAGGAGTTCTCTTTAATACAAAGGGCTCTGGTATGATAAATCCACATTACTTTCATTTTTAAAGTGCCATATGATTTGTTTTTTCTATTTCTTATTCAGGGGAATCTTTCATTCCCTTTTCAAGTGCACAAACTCCCTTTGGGCCATGATTAAATATTACCTGGGCAAAAACATGTGCTGGTGCTTCTACAGGGATTTCTTGGGCCCGTGAGTAGGTGCCAAAATCATTTGAAGAAACTTGTCAGTGTCATCATAAAAACATACAATAATAAATCTGGGCTGCAAAAATGCAAATTACTAGCAGCAAAGATATAGAAAAAAATTACCTCTCTTTGCTGCTATCTAGTGATCATTTATATTACAGTAGAGGTCCAATAAAGTACATTTAATTTTGAAAGACATACTGAATGAGGAAGATGAATATTCTTGAAATAAAACAGTTTTTATTTCAACTGATCAAGAATTATATGTTCTTTTTATGCTGCTATTTATTATTGTTATTTTTATCCTATCTCCTTCATTCTCGAGTGGCAAAAATAACACATCTTCAGACAAACATATACAATCCCAGTTACCTCCCAGTCATAATGCAATACAGGTAGTCCTTGATTTACAACAGTTTGTTTAATGACTGTTTGAAGTTAAAACGGCACTGAAAAAAGCGACTTATGACCATTTTTCATACTTATGACCATTGCAGCATCCCCATAGTCACTTGGTCAAAATTCAGATGCTTGGCAACTGGTTCATACTTATGACCGTTGCAGTGTTCTGGGGTCATGTGATCACCTTTTGCGACCTTCTGACAAGCAAAGTCAATGGGGAAGCCAGATTCACTTGACAACTTAACAACTGTGACAAGAAAGGTAGTTAAATGGGGCAAAACTCACTTAACAAATGTCTCAGTTAGCAAGAGAAATTTTTGGCTCAACTGTGGTCATAAGTCAAGGACTACCTGTACAGTACTCTAAAAAAAGTTATAAAAATCCAAATGATCACTCGATGGAAGTAAAAGTCTACAGAGAATTCAAACATTTGAGCTCTCCAGATCAAATCTGAAATACAGCCCTAAAGATAAATACATACATAAAGATAAAATGTATTATTATTATTATTATTTTATACTAACAATAACAACAATAATAAAAAGTTGTGTTTATGACTTTCAAAGCTTTAATAACAAAGAACAGCTGTGACAAAAAAAGACAACAATCTGGACTGCAGACAAAGAGAATTATAAACTTGAGAAAAAAAAAATTTTTTTGAACTCTTTGGATTACAAATATCTATTTAACCGGGACTCTAAAGCTATTTGCAGATAAGAAGGAAAATTTCAACTTTTGGCCATCATGGATCAGAGACATGTAGATAGAACATACCAAGAAAACATAAATATCTCTCAGCAGGGGATATATAGTATACTGCAATTAATTCAAACAACAATGAGTTCAAATCACAAAGAAATCCAAAATAACTTTGAAAATATAAATCAATCTATTTCTAAGTTAACTCTACAACAACAAAAATTCCAGGAAACAACAACGGAGAAGGAGCATACAAAACAAATAAGTGGACATAAAATTGAAAATAGAGACTCAAAGATGGAACTTAACAAAGCAAGAAAACATGATTTAATCCTAGTGGGGAAAAAAGCCACAAGAAATGGAAAAAAACAGCTCATCCCTTAAAACTACAAAATAAATCTGAGGACAAAAAACCAGATTGGATAAAATGAAATGTATAGATGTTGAAACATCAAAGAGAAAGGAAATGATAAGAGAAGCAGAGAAGAAGAAAAAGAAAAAGATTTTCAAGAAACATGGAAAGGCAAAAGCGTCATATAAAGACACTTTACTCGATTTACTTCTTATAACTACAGCAACAGTTATGAATATATGGAAAAACTTTTTGATTCAGCAAAACACATTGAACAAAAAAGATACTGGTCAAAAGAAAAAGATTAAAGTGAAAATTAAGAAAATAGATGATGGGATCTACTAGAGAGAATATTTAAAAAAGAAATATTTGTTTGAATATGGTTAAAGAAATAGAAAAGATTCTGAATATATACAGTAGTGGCCAAAATTGTGGAAACCTTTTGAGAAAAGTGTATTTTTGAGGTTTGATGGCTAATAACACCACTTTTTTTTAGAGTAGTACCACAAAATTATATATCAATGGAAAGATAATTTAATCAAGAATGTAATGCAACAAAGTTTGTTCAATTATCTGTATTGTATTCTATGAAAAGCTATAGCCAAATGAGCAGAAAAAGGAAGCACAACTTGCTTAGGTTGATATCAGGTAGCTTTCCTTCATCTGATTGTAGCCAATGAGCATGAGTGTTTAGAGAGCCAATCAGGTGTCATCTTGTTTTGGCAATGAGCCAATCAGATCACAGTAGGATTCAGTTATTGATGTCATGTATTGAAGCTGAGAGGAGGACATTTGTCAGTGTGTTATGTGATCACTATCAAGTTGGTTGGGTTTTTTGTGTTCTTTCATTTAGTGAGCTTGTAAAACGTAATAAAATTAAAGTAATGGTGCAAAGAGTTGACTGGTTGCCCAGAAAACGATGTAAAATAGTATTATTAACTGAACAAGGCTACAGTTATAAAGATATTAGAAGAAAAATTGGTGGAAACTTAACCAAAGGTAGCATTTCTACTGTACACTTTTCCCAAAAGGTTTCCACAACTTTAGCCACTATTGTATGTCATTCTAAGAGGGATGAATTCCTTAAATAATACTGTATGCTTCCCCCACTTTTTATTTTATTTCTTGATATAAATAATATAATACTGTTGAAATGGCTTAGAGGAAGGAAATGTTTTAGATAATTAAATGTGTTTGAATTTAGGGAAATTATAATGTATCAAAAAGAAAAAATGTTTTGAATAAGAGTTAAAAGATTAGATGACTAGACACATTAAATTGAATATTTAAATATTTATTAATAAAAATTAAAAAAAGATTAAATATATTTTTAATTATGGTTAAAAAGAATAAGAAATTTGGGGAATGAATATATATTAGCTTAGGAGGAATATATATTTTAAGTAGTATTTTACTTTTTATGTTTCTTTATTCTTGCTCTCTTTTCCTTTTGTTTACTGTTTTTATCTATTCTTTAAGAAATGTAAAAGTGTTGAGATGGTTTATATGGGAATAATGGATTTAAATCTTTAAATGTAATTAACTGTTGAGAAAATCTTAACCAGCAAGAATACTTTGAACTTTATGGGAGAAACAAATCTAAATAAGGACTGTAAAAGGATATAAAATGAGGCAACCAGAACGATTAGATAGAAAAGAAATATTATGTTGATGTGATCATTATTTCTAGGAATATTGGGAAAAAATCATACATGTAACTGTTATTTATCAAAATAATAAGAACTGTATTAATTCAAGGTTTGCAAAGAAGACATTTTGGGGGAAAGGGGGAAACCAACTAAATGTATTATGTGGATTATGCATTACAGAAACCAATTGTTAATGATTTTTTTTAACAAATGTAAACCCAACAAACACACTGTTTACTAACTATTAAGTGATTTTTGTTTTTTAAAAAATCAATAAAATATATGGGGAAAAAATTAAAAATATATCTAGAAAGAATCAATTGTCCCACACGAGATATGAAGCCCTAAATCAGTGGTTCGCAACCTTTTTAATGCCGCGACCCCCAACCGGTCGTAAGTTAAGGACTACTCAACCGGTCGTAAGTTGAGGACTACTCAACTGGTGCAGCACTGTTTGCAGAATGGAACTTTTGGCGGGCTCAGCAGGGCAGAGACAGCCTGGACAATTCCTATTGGCTTTTGAAAGCCAATAGAATTAGACTCTATTCAAGAGAGCCAATAGAATAAAAGGGAGTAGCACAGCTAAGGAAAAGGGGACAAAAAATGGTGGACTGCGTTGTTTGGCGACCCCCGTGAAATGGTCGTTCGACCCCAAATGGGGTCCCAACCCACAGGTTGAGAACCACTGCCCTAAATGGATGTTCAGTGAGAATAAAATAGCTTCCTTTAAGTTGTGCCTGATTTTCTGTGAAAATCATCCATATAATTGTCTTGGCAATGGTATGGAGGTTGTTTGCCCTTCTCTTCTTCTTTCTAGTCTAGCCTAGATTGCTTAGTTCCTTGAGGGCCTCCCTATGTAAAACTGAACAGGATCGATCCTACTTAGCTTGTGAATATTAGCCAACATAAAAATAGTTTATTAGGCATGTTCCGTTTTACTCTCATTGATACATTTTACCACCACCACAGGTAGGAGCCATATGTTTTTCATTCCATCTCAGAAGGATGTAAGGCAGGGTGGTCTAACCTTGGCAACTTTAAGACTTGTGGACTTCAACTTCCAGAAATTCCCAGCCAGCATGGAAGTTGAAGTCCACAACTCTTAAAGTTGTCAAGCTTGGACACCCCCTACTGTGCTTCTTTAGTGACATCACCAAGGAATATATGCTTGTAAATTTTGTTTTTCATTTGGGGTTGGGTTAGGGAGGTTAATGTGGATTAAGTTTATCTGAATTTTTGTGCACGGATCTTGTTTTTTGTTTTTTTAAAAAAAAATCCGAGAAATTTATTGAATGTTTGTATTTTCCATTAAACATGCAATGTTGATAAGATCTGGAGGGTGTAGTAAAGGATCTGGATAAGCCTCATGTGGCCTGCAAATTGGCCACTTCTGCATTGCATCAATACACTGGAGTTTTTCCATACCTTCACCCAGCTGCAGAGCAGGGTCCATAAGTTCCATCATATACTCTACATTGAGAATCATCTCTGCCAAGTTACTGCGGGCCAGAACATACATGAGCACTGGGAGGAAGTCATCTGCCCCATGAGGCTTCCCTAAAAGGAGAACAGAGTTGATTCACTCAAAAGTCTCTATGTGGGAGAGAAAAAATGCTTGAATTTAAGGAAGTTAAGTTAGTTGTGCAATCCAGATAACCAGTTCATGAATTAACCAGGTCTTATCCAAATCATTGTAGAGCATTTGGTTCTTACAACTGCTAAAACATGAATTAGAATAAATGCTTCAGATGATATAAATATACAAGTTGATTTGGTTGCAATCCAGATTTCTAGGATTCTTTCACTAACGTCATTATCTTCATCAGATTTGGAGAAATTGTCTGAGTATAAACCCAAGAACAGCATAGTTTGATGACTCCAAAAACTGTTCCCATAACTGCCATCCAGACTCTCTGAGGAGTTCATAGGCAGGACATGATGAGAGTCATCCTCTTCTTCTCCCTAATGACTAGTACAGGGGTAGACAATCTTGACTCTTTTAAGACTCGTGGACTTCAACTCCCAGAATTCCTGAACCAGCATGGCTCAGCTTGGAAACCTCTCCCTTTCTTCTCAGCATGGCTGGCTCAGGAATTTTGAGAGTTGAAGTCCATGAGTCATAAAAGAGCCAAGGTTGCCTACCCCTGGACTAGTATGCCACCCCTAGCATTAAATATAACATTTTGACTCTGTACTTCAATGAATTTACTTCTTTCCCTTTTAAAGCTAAGTTGATAGCCACTATCTCATTTCATGGCAGCAAATGATGTATGCTATATGAAGAAATAGTACTCAGTGTTTTGTGTTATAAAAATACATTTTTGCAGCGTAGGAGTGCTGCTGTGCTCCATTACAGACAAACATAGTGGGTGGAAAGGAATAGAATTATGACCAGCTGTATACCATGAAATTATGGAAAGAATTATGTTATAACATAAAAAATGAACATCGAACTATGGAAGAGATCTGACTATTGTAAATGCTTATTGTGCAGAGGTTTAGACAAAATATGACAGTCAAACTGAGTTCAAAAGTATATCAATATTGAAGTGACATGCTATGAGATAATCTTCTGTTTCCAGATGTTCTCACCAATCACAGTCCAAAACAGATTAAATCATGCTTTAAGCCCACCGTAATCAATAGGCTTAAGCATGCTTAAGTGGATTTTAGAAAACAGCCATTGGCTTTTTAAAAAAATTTCCCTATATGTCAGAAAACCTCAGAATAAATTGCTTTTCAAGCTGAGAGTTATACTCAGATGCAGCCTTAAATACTCTTTTATGCAAAACTCAAAAAAATAATGAGAATAAATGATAAAAGGAAAATCCCTAGGTTAGGTGGCAGAGCTTACAAGCATTAAGGTTTCCTTTATAAATTGTATCTTATGTTATCAATAGAATTTCATAATATTAAATCACCTTGTTTTGCAAAAACATAAAATATGATTGCTAAAGAGAAGAAAGGCTTCATTATTCCAATAATCCTTGCTGAATTTTTTTCTTTGTACTATATTACCGCATTCTGTGACTTCAGAGGAAGCTTTCTTGGGTGTGGCTAGAGAGCCAACAGAATGACACAGCAGTACTTGATACAAGGTGTTATAATGATAGAAGGGATGCAATAGAATCATTGAGTCTCCCCTCACTCCAATTTTCCCAAATATTAGCACCTAGGTTCATCCATCATATATCTCAGGGGTGTCAAACTTGCAACGTCACATGACATGTCACGATGTATCGTGCCTTTTTTTGCCATTGCCGGAAATGGGGTGGGTACGTTTTTGCTATGATGCATCCGGCCTGCTGGCCGGCAGTTTGACACCCTTTGATATATCTGAACAGAGAACTAAAGCAAATCTGTAGTATGTAATTTATTCTTTTATGCAATAATTGCATTGATTTGGATCATTTGGGAAGAACTAGATAAATTCACTGGGAAAAGAACTATTAGTGGTTGCTAATTTCTGTAATGGAAGTTTTGCTTCCAGAATCTCAGCCATGACTTAAATACTAGCTGCCAAAAACAATAATGAAATCCAGCTGGGTGACCTTGGGCCAGTCACTCTTTCGCCGCCCAACTCACCTCACAGGGTTGTTGTTGTTGTGCGGGAGAAATAGGAGGAGGAAAGTGTGTTGGATATGTTCACTGTTTTGAGTTATTTGTAAAAAAATAATAATAATATAGGAGATAGAGAGAGGAAGGGAATATGACTGCTTTTAAAATTATTTCTTTTCCTTTTCTGAGTATTTTTTAGTGAACTTAGATACACTATTAGGGTTAATTATAAATTGAAACATTATTGATTTTTTGGGTAAGTCTTCATTAAGATTTCCTTACCCCATTGCTCTTTTATAAATCATTTGAACTCCACCCAGAGAAAGTTGCAATTAGTCACTGGGCATTTCCTCATAGCCATGCTGGCAGTCATTCTTCCCATCTCTGATTCAGTAGTTATATATACTGGCATAAATTACATTGCCTAGATGGCTGAACTATATTCTGTTCCAGTGCTAAGGCTTGAATAGAATAGAATAGAATAGAATAGAATAGAATAGAATAGAATAGAATAGAATAGAATAGAATAGAATAGAAGCCGGAAGGGACTTTGGAGGCCTTTTAGTCCAGCCCCCTGCTCAAGCAGGAGAACCTATACCATTTCAGACAAGTGGCTGTCTAGCCTCTTTTTTAAAATCTCCACTAACGGAGCACCCATGATTTCTGGGGGAAAGCTATTCCACTGGTTAATTGTCCTCACTGTCAGGAAGTTTCTCCTTAATTCCAGGTTGCTTCTCTCTTTGATCAGTTTCCAACCATTGTTTCTTGTCCTGCCCTCTGGTGCTTTGGTGAATAACATGACCCCCTCTTCTTTGTGGCAGCCCCTCAAATACTGGTACACTGCTATCATGTCTCCCCTGTTTCTTTAGACTAGCCAAACTCAAGTCCTGCGCCGTTCTTCATCTCTTTTAGTCTCCAGGCCTTTGATCATCTTAGTTGCTCTTCTCTGAAGTTTTTCAAAACTCTCAACATCTTTTTTTATGATATGGTGACCAAAATTGGCTGCAGTATTCCATGTGTGGTCTTACTAAGGTTTTATAAAGCAGTACTAATACCTTGCGTGATCTTGATTCTATGCCTCTGTTTATACAACCCAGGATGTATTAGCTTTTTTGGCTGCTGCTGCACATTGCTGGCTCTTGTTAAGTGATTGTCCACTAGGACTCCAAGGTCCCTCTCACAGTTACTGTTTTTAAGCCAGGTCTTGCCCAATCTGTACTTGAACCTTTGATTTTTCCTGCCTACATGTAAAATTTTGCTTTTTTCCATATTGAAACTCAATTTGTTGGATAGGGCCCATTGTTCAAGTTTGTCAAGATCTTTTTGGATCCTGAGTTTGTCTTCTGGGGTGTTGGCTACTCCTGCCAGTTTGGTATCATCTGCAAATTTGATGTGTTCCCCTTCAATTCCCTTGTCTAAGTCATTGATGAAGATATTGAAGAGTACTGAGCCTAAGACAGAACCTTGTGGTACCCCACTGCTTATTTCTCTCCATGTGGATGTAGTGCTGCTGAGGACTACTCGTTGAGTACAATTTGCCAGCCAGCTACAGATCCATCTGGTGGTGATGTTGTCTATTCCACCTTTTTCTAGCTTACCAAGGAGTAGGTTGTGGACTACTTTATCAAATGCCTTACTGAAGTCTAAGTATACTACATCCACAGTATTTCGCTGGTCTGTCTTCCAGTAGAGCATTACATCTTTGTCTCAAAATAGCTTAGTTGACAGATCAGTGGATCAGAGAAAGGAGTTGGGAGACACGATATGGAGCAACACCTTCTGTTTTATTACACACTCCTTCTCCACTTCAGTGACCTATCAGACAGGATGGAGGAGTGGCAAAGAGCACCAGCTGATCTCCCTCCCATGTCCCTCCACCATTCCTCTGAAGTGTTGTCTTGGGACAAAATTCAAATTGCTGTATTACTATGGGTTATCATATATTTTAAGCACAAAGCATATATGGGATCTTTCCCCAATGCAGAGCTGAAGTGGTACCCACCCACCCTTGAGTCTGTAAAAAAAACAATTATCAGTACAATCTGGTGACAGTCCTTCTGAGGAATACTGCCTAGCATTACTTGACCTTCCTCCAAAATAATATGTTACAAAGCCTAAAACATTTTACACACTCTGAGGCTGTGGTCAGATGTGTTAATGTAAGGGAGGAAATGCTGCTTCACCACAAATGCAGCAAAGAACCACTTAAAGCTGCCTCAGTCATGGGCTATGGAAAAAGATAAAATCAGTGGCATGGGAACACATTTGAAAAAAAATAGTGCCGCTAAGTATGATGCGGTTAGAAGAAAGGAAGGGAACACAAGTTATCTAGAAAAAATAAAGGTTTTATATTATCTTTCCCAGACTTGGGTGCCCAGATAAGAGGTACTCTCGAAATAGTTCAGGTCAGTTCATGGTTGTTAAATTATCTGCACATATTAGAACCTCAGATGTGCCCTGCTGGGCATGGACCAAACCAGCTTGTCCAAGCAGAGTGGGAAAAGAAACCTGAAGTGTGTCTGACGGGAATTATGCTTTGCACACATCAGTAGGACTGTACTCTGGGCTCTCTAGAGCAGGCTGAGGAATTCTGGGAGTTGAAGTCCACAGATCTTCAAGTTGCTAAGGTTGAGGAACCCTGCTCTAGAGAGCCACTTAGTTCAGGCAAAGGGGAAATGACTGAAGCTTCTACTATGCTTTAATTGTGTGCAAACACTTCTTGTTGGCACGTCTTGTAAAGTGCAAATAGTGGTCCACAACTGGTGAGTGCTGGAGAGACAGGTTGTAATCTCTAGTATTTGTCATTCTGGGAAGGAAGAAAGGAAAGAGAAGAATCTGTGGAAATCTGCCTGAATTCTCGGTCTCCTCCCTCTGACCAAATTAGCAGCTGTAAATCTTTCAGGGGTTCCTTCAGTGAGATTGGAAGAGCCTCACTTGCTCAAGGTGAAACTGCCTTATTCCAAATCCAGCCTGTCTTCTTTTTGGTTTTTGTTCAAAGAAATGAAACATTATTTCATAAATATCTATAAGAGGCTTAAAATAAACACTCTCCAACTGTGCTGTAAAGCCCCATGCTATTACCGTCTCCTAGTTAAACTGCTGGGTCAACCATTAATTGGGATTGGACTGCCGGGACTTGAAAGATAGAGGTATTTAATAATTGAATGCAGAGTTTAAAGAAATTGGAATCCTTCCCAGATGTCCATAAAGGAATGAAGAAACTTTCCTCACTTATGGGTAAATGTGTGTCTCCCTTGGTTTTGTGATAGAACTGGACAAATAATTAATGGAGCAGATAGCTGTGTGTTGATTTCTAAATATTTTACAAACATATTTAATTAAAGTATTCAAATATGCTATTCAGGAACAACACAACTTTTCTTAAAAGAAAGGATCTTGTCTTTCAAGGTACAACAAAATCAGCAACCTCTTACTAATGAATTTCAGATCCTGATTACAGATTCAGGCTGCAATACTACTATATTTTTACAACGATATTTTATAAGCCTCCCAAAGTCAAAGCATAGTCTTGCTGGCTTTGGTGGATCTAGTGTGTCTATTCCCAATCTTATTATCCAACAGACGTACTGGAACCCGAGTCCCTGCTGTGAGTGGACTTCTCCAGGATGGTCTTCTCTCCAATATATATGTCATGGATAGTGCTGCTAGTAGTTCTCCAGTTCCCTAAGGGAAATGGGAATGGAGATTTGCAAGTATTGTTTTTCTAATGCTGTATCTGTCTCTGATACATCCTTTTCTTGAAACCTGACCAGCCCTCCTCTACCTTAGTTTTTCAGGAACAATTGAAAGCCAAGTTATTTTAGGAAATATGGATGTCACAATATATTTATTGATTGTAATTTTGGACTTATTTGGGGTAACTTTCCAACTGTTATTTTCTGTTTTTTTATTGTTTTCTTTATAGATGCTTTAGCATCATTAATTTAATCCAAGAATCGTTGGATTATGGGGCTAGGAATAATAAAATAATAAAAACCCAACAAATAAATAAATTTAGAAGTTGCAGTTGCAACACATTTGGAAGGTATTGATCCAATTCTGGGAGTTATAGTCTATCAATCTTAAAGTTGCCAAGTTTGAAGAACACTATTCTATCTTTAATCAACCAAACATAAGTTTACAGACATTTACCTGGTAATTGTTCACAAATTGGTAAACAATTAAGGTATAGAGGGACTATGACTCCCAGAATTCCCATTCAGCAGGTGGGCTAGCTCTATTTGAAGGGTACTGATATGGAGTAAGGACTATTAGATAAGATAGGAATAACTTTTTATAGGGTAGCAGCAACAGACACAATCCAGAATATGATCCAGCATTTAAAATTATCAGATGATTTGCTTGTTTTCATTTATGGATATAAAACTAAATACTTAAAACAATCTCAAAAGATATTTTACTATTTTGAAATTCCCATACCTTCCCATTAATTGGGACTCCACTTTCATAAAAGCAGAGCAGGAAAATAAATAAATTAAACTGAGATGGGATATAGTGAGAAGAAAAAAGTGTGGTGTGGGGAAATTCAAATGAATATTCTGTCCCATATTTTCTCAATGTCCTTAAGTAGCCCTGGGGGAATTAGTGGTAGATCAAAATTATATTATCAGTAACACATTATTAACACATCAGGTTATTTTCTTTCATTTTCAAACCACGGAGAGCCATAAAATTCCACATCTTTGGATCCCAGTGTCTGCTTGCATTTATATATAAAGCTACATCTTCCTGTTGTATTAATTTTACTGTTGACAACTCTATAACATAATATTGAATTTTCTTTTGGTGGACAATGTGTCAATATTGAAAGTCAGCTTACAGTATGCTGTAAATTAACCAAATCAAGAATAATTGAGATTTTTGAAAGGCATCCAAATCGGAAGCAGAAAGTTGGCTGCCTCCAATAAAAGTTTCACAAAGTAAGGTAGCCCTAGAGTAGGGGTGTCAAACTCGCAACATCGCTATGACACATCCGGCCTGCGGGCCGGTAATTTGACACATCTGCCCTAGAGGTTCAGTAAGTTAGGAAATAGTTTAGACTGCCATTCAAATATCCTATTGTTAATGGTTAGAGATGTTTAGAATAATGCTTCTTTGACAGTCTCTGCCAGTGCAGAGGAACAGCACTAAGTAAAAGTTCTAACTCTACCCAAGTGAGTGATAACTGTTATAGATGGTTCTCCCACCAGTGATAGTAAAAGAAAAACTACAAAATAGCTTGGTCTAATAGCCCACCAGAAGTAGAGAGGGATCATTTTTGTATTATTGGGAATACACATTTGATTTTCTTAAAATAAGACAATATTAATCCTAGTGGCTCAAGGCTGCCCAAAACATAGCCTAATGTGCAATCTAGGTAAAAATAATTCTGATGAGGCCTTTATTGCTAATAGTGCCATAATTCTTGCAACTGTTTGATAATCTCTAGTGTGTTTAATTCAAATGTTTCTGTATATGTTGAGATACTGCTCTCATTGTCCATGAACAAAAATTCTGAAGGTTCTGTTATATCTAGCACAAATCTACACTAACCATCATTGTCACTTTATCAGAAGAGCTATTAATATTAAAAAGTATGGCTGGGTTTTTTAAGGGTGTCTTATAGTACCTGGGTTTCCTTGAGTCATAGAATCATAAATGAGTTTGCAAGACTTCAGTAGAATGCTGATTTTCTTTTCTGGAGAATAAGTCTTGGTCATGGTGGTGAATTTATGGAGTATTCTCTCCAGCAATGCAGATTCAGGCACACTAGTAGTGACTCCCAAGTCGGTTGTAGTTGTATTTTGTATGACTTCCTGATTTTCCTTTAGGAGTTTGAAAGATCCATCTTTGTTATGGATTTCCCGTAGGTAAGTATCAATGGGCACTTTTAAAGGCTTCAAGACACATTTGTGCAAAGCTGATTCTATTATCACCTCTGAAAAGGGGGAAAATAAAACATGTCAAATGAATATATGAGAAAGCAGCAACGTAACAAGACTGGCATATTCAGACTTTGGAACCAGTAGAGATCTATATCAACACAGCTAATAGTGACTCTGTTGTTTTACCTGCCTTGATCCTGACCTCAATTAACTTTCACAATAAAATGTAATTTTTGGTTTTCTCTGTCATCACTCTGGGCACCTGTGCATGTTTGTACAAATTCCATTAGCTACTTTATAATCACATTTGAGGGATTAGGCTTTGGTGAAGTCAGAGATAGATCTTCTCTGGCTAAAGGCTATTTGTAAATAAAATAAATACCATTTTTCATCAGCACTTGAGCTAAAACAGAACTTTTGCCAAGTGCCATGGAAATCAAGCAATCCAGTCAGTTCAAATAGATATATTTATTACAAACTTAAGCTCTCTATAAGAATCTGAAATACTAACGGTCAAAGCAATTTGGCTGTAAATAAGGAATTCACGGGGGCTGGACTTAGATCTCTTGTGGACATGAAGGGACTCATGACTGATGACGTGTGTGTGTGTGTGTGTGTGTGTGTGTGTGTGTGTGTGTGTGTGTCTGTGTGTGTGTGTGTGTCTGTGTGTGTGTGTGTGTCTGTGTGTTTGTCTACGGGCTATGGGCTAGAAGATTTCTGTCATTTGTCCAAAGATCTTAACATTCTTTAAGAGATGAAAGAATAGTTTTGGAAAATTATAAATGAAATTTTGTCTGGATGTAACAAGGGAAGTAATCAGGGATAGTCTCAGCATATTTTCAAAGCAGTTTCAAGCAATTCCCCAGGGAGAGGCATATTGTGAAGAATCCAGGCATCTAGTCTATGAGACTATTTTTGATATAAATGCATTAATAGAAGCTTTCTATTAAAAAAAAATATGGAGCTCAGTTCTTGATCAGGAGGAAGTATCAACAGCATGTCTGTGTAAATAAATGATCCTTTAGGAAGTGGATATGTAATGAAGCAATTCTTAAAACTTTCATTTCTACATGAGACTCATAGTTGTTATATCTTCAAAACAAAAAATCCTCCATGAATAGTGTTAAATTCTGCAAGGACATAGTTCATGACTGTATAACTCATATTCTACTGAAATTATTGCCAAAGATTTGCAACAATTGAGCAAAATCCCAAGTTCATTTTCGCAAAAGTTCAGCAGGTTGCATCACACTGTCCTGTCTCAGCTCTGGGGTGTTCATAATTCAAGTCAGTCCATGTACTTGATGTACTTGATCCTCTTTGTAGCAATTGGACAAGCAATGACATATATATACACAACATGTTTCTTTTTAAAAAGGCACTTCCTCTCTCCTCTCAGAACTAATCAGACCAATCTGTAATTTAATTCAGAAACTTTGACACAAACTAATATTTCAATAATACTAATGTACATGCCAATCATAGCAGTCATGGACTCCCAAGATTTACCCCGAAGTAATTTCAATGATTTCAGTAGTGTTAGTAGCAAATTAATGGGCATGGCAAAATAGGCATTTCTGATGTTCTCAAAATGCTTTGGCATACACTCCTGCAATCCCTTGCCATTGGGCTCACTGATGAGGTTGATGGAAATTGAAGTCTATAATATTATCAACGTAACACATGCATAAAATTATATCCTTAAGCCTAAATAAGTCAATAATTATAGTCTGTACAATAGAAAAGAGCTAGATACTGAAAAGTTGATAGCTAATGACCATGGAAATTTCAGTTGCATAGAACTGACATTTCTACACATTTTGAAAGCAGTCTAAAATGAGAAATTTAGTAGAGTAAGCTTTCTCCATGCGTTTATATCAAAAATAGTCTCATAGACTAGATGCCTGGATACCAAAGTGCATGATAATATTATAAAAGAAAGGGACACATTTACTTCGAAATGATCCACAATCAGCTGTATCATTGAAGCATTTTTTTTTTAAATCTGTGGATAGCTGTGTATGAAATATACCATTGAATAGTGGCCATTGACCAGACTTAAAAAGCACTTTGCATCTTTTCATCCTAATCCTGGGAATATCTATACAAAACTAACTGAGGATCAAAAAGTTAAAGCAAATAACCAATTCTTCAGAAAGACTACTTTCTCCTTAGATGCTCTGTCTACCATGTTTGTCCTTGTTTGCATCCATATTGTTCATTTACAACATGTACCTTAGTTTATCCCAATGTGGAATAAAAAGAAGAAAAAGGACTATGGCAAAAAGTGCAGTCGGAAAAAGGAATCAACTTTGATCAATACCCGACTCTACATGATCTCCATGTTCTTATTAAGTTGATGATTATTTTTGTTGAGTGCATATACTGTAACTGAAGGTGTCTTAAAATTAAGGATAAATATCAACTGTAGTTGTATGCTGAAATGCAGTGAATGAAATCAAAACATATTCTTTAACTCAGGGCAAATGATTTTTTTTCTCCATCCAATTTTCTAAAATACCATTCTGAAAAGGGAAGGAACAACAGAAGCAGACTCTTAAGTGCCCTGTTGGGTTGGATCTTGAGCACCTCTAGATGAAAATTACTATATTTGCTATCTCCTATTAACCTAGTCCATATGCAATGAAACTATATGCCATTCTTGCTTATAGATCAAAACACCCATAGAAAGGTGAACACTCACCTAACTTCTCATCTGTGTGAACAGTCTGGTCCATTAAAGATTTCAGCTCTGTGCTTTGAATTAAGTAATTCTTCAATTGTGTCATCATTAAGCGAATCTCTTGTAGCATTTCTGTGCTGGAGATCTGCTTTGCCATCATCTCCAGACTGTAGACTTTATAGTCCTGTACCAAGTTGCCAAAGTAAGAGTCTTTATCCTGGGCCAGTTCCACAATCTTCTTCTGGAGCTTTCGGTCAGAAGAGAGAAATGCTGTGAAGACATTGCTTAGGCTGACCATGGACAGACGATGCTTGGCTCTGCCTAACATCATAGAATGGGTCTTCTTTACAATAGGACTGGTCGTCAATTCGAACTCATCTTCAGTGCTACTTGTAGAATAAGAATCTGGCTCGGAGGCAGACATTTGAGCCCTTGCATTGCCTACAGGACAATGCAATGAATCACTTGAACGTTCAGAATCCGATATGCTGACAAGTTTAGGGCCAGATTTTGATTTCTTTTTGGAAATGGAGCAAGTTTTTTCTACTCTTTGTTTATTTTCTTGTTGGGCCTCTGACTCTTCAGTGTGCTCCAAAGAAAAAGAGGTGGTAGATGATGACTGCTTAAAGAACTTCTTCTTTCTTAGTGGTGGGATGGGAGGCTGGATAGGAGGCTGGGGGGTTTTTCCTGATAAATTCTGCTGCTGATCTGTAAGTTCCTTCTTGTCCTCTCCAGTAGGCTTTACTTTTTCAGCATTTGGGGCAGATTTCTCCGTCACTTCTGCCAATACATTTGGAACCTCATCACACTGGTGATCATTAGCCAAAGCTTCATTCCCCCTGTTCTGTTTTTCTACTTGTTTTTCTTCTGGCAGTGAAGTTCTTTTATCGAAGGAAGAATTTCCTGAAGTTCTCTCAAATGAACATCGCCTTGGTGGAATGGATGGAGGAATCTTCTTCGACTTTGGAGATGGAAGGCTATGAGGAAAAAAGAGTTCTGGGCTGCTCTCTTCCTTGTCTCTGCTAATTTCAGTTTTCATCTCTTTTTTGGTTTTCTCCAAATTATGGAATTGATCCTCTTTGGAAGGGGTCATAGAAGATGTTTTGGTTTGTTTCACAGCATGAAAGGACAATAGAGGTGGTGGTGGTGGAGGAGGAGGGGGAAGAGGAGGAGGAAGAAGAGAAGGAGGAGGAGGAGGACGTCGAGTAGGAGATCTCTTTGGAAGTTTTGTCACAATGTTTCTACCACCAGAAGGACTCTCCCTGAAGATCTCTGAAGGAGAAACTTGTGGGGGAAACGGATAGCTGCTCTCCTCTATAAAAATAGGATTTACAAACCACAGCTTGTCACTTCCTACTGACAGCTCAGTTTCACGTGAATAATTGTTTGTGCCGCTTGCAAAAGGCTGGCTGGGGTTCTTTCCTTTTTTTGCCTGAGCTGTGATGTAAGCCGGATCTTTCACAGAATGGAGAAGCCTTCTTCCTTGCCTTTGATGCAAAGAGGAGTTCCAGAAACCTGTGAATAAATAAGTATATCCCCAATAATAGCCAACTAAAAGCAATTATGTTTTAATGCTACTTGCACAATGTTGCTTAAAACATAGAATTATTCTATGCCCAACTGTACATGAATATTTCACAGTGTTTCAAACTGATCCAGTTAATATAAATTAAGATAAATAGTGTCATGACATTATAGGAGGAAAAGAAGTTGATAGCCTTCATGAATATATAGGGATAGCCAGCATTTTTCCCAATCCAAATTCCCTGGACAGGATGAGACCCTTTGCTTCCAGAAACATTTGTCACCTTAATTTCAGTGAACATGTTGGTAGCTGTGCTTTTATAGCCATTTGGAATCTTATTACTAAATTCTATTTCAAAAAGTGCCATCAGGCCAACTCATAGTATAAATTGCTTCCTTTTTAATGGTAGAGTGTTAATCTGCAAATGAATATGGAAATATTAGGCAAGAGGTATTATCTGAAAACGTATGAGCTAGGTCAAATGTAGATTCATTTCTACCTGGAATATTATGTTTTATAAATGATTAATAAGTGGTTGGATGGCCATTTATCAGGGAAGGCTTAATAAACCTTTGCTTTTACCAGCAAAGATTAGATTACTTGAATTTCCTTTCAACTACATGATTCTAAAAAAAAAAAAAAATCCTTTGAACCCAGGAAATGCACTTCAAACTACTTTCTGAATGCTTTTACCCATGTGTTTGAGAACATAATTAGGAAAATGCAACACCCAAAGCAATCTGATACAGAAGAAAATGGAACAATGTTACAGAAAGTTTCTTAAGATGCTTCTAACAATATATACAAATAGAATACAAATATCAAATTAGCTCTTTCAACAGTTTGTATATGGCAAAATCTGGTGATGGCATTGCAAAGCTGTGCATTCATTGAGCTCTTGAACCCAATACCTGAAGACATCTATGTTTGGATTTAGATAATTATACTTTCCTTTTAGCAACAGTTTAGCTTATTCTGGAGCACAGAGTTTATTAACGGTTTAATAAATGTACATACATCTTGTTGTAAACACAATATCTGAAAGGAAGATGGTCTATAAGAAGAGGCAAAGAAGGTGAGTTGATGGAGCTAAATTAGTCATTGCTGGTCTATGAAACTAGAAAAGTTTGGGTGCACAGAGCCCCAGGCTTCCAAAATAAATTTGCATGACTTTGCACATGGAGGACTCTGTGCTCTCTCAAACAATATGAAACAAGCAAAAGAAATAAAAAATGTAAAGATTTCTGCATGAAGAACTCATGAAAACAAGATTCAAACTTCTCCTGCATAGCAGCTTTCTCCTATTCACTGCAAAGATAGAACTATGATTCTATTGGAATATTTGCAGAGATCACCTAATTGATGCAGGGAGAGGCCCCCTGAGTGACCAACTCTATTGGTCTTTTCAGCCTTGCATTAGCAGTGACTTTTACAAGGATACCCTAAATAATGTGTGAAAAGGAAAGCCATTTCACCTCCATTAAAAACCAGATCAGTCTACCGTAGTGGGCAAAATAATCAAGTAGTTAAGATAGTTAATAAACTAACTCAGATTTCATACTTCAGAGTCTATTTTATTTTATACCACTAATTACAATTCTACCACCAAATAGCGGTATAGAACAAGCTAAGCTCGGGGCAGGGGGTTGTTTAGAAAACTGAAAGTGAGTTTACAATTCTTCAATGGAAAAATTCACTTCCCCAGTTTTCCTGAGTACCTTAATTTAGAAAGAATACTAAAATAATAGCAATAAGTCATTTTGCTAAACAACTCAGAATTAGAAAAAAAATATCATGCAGATATCTGCTAAGATTCGGACCTGTCGTCTCTGACTTAGATGAGAGATCACGCTCACAGATACAAGGGCAATACTCATATATTCAGAAGATAAAGCCAGCACATTAGATGTTGTCCCAATTTCTACATTATAATCCAACATTACATCTGTTAATTGATATAATGTCTTCAAACCTGAACTTCTACAGAGAGCGGGTGGCAATATTTTGCAACAGATACTGTTCAGAATATTGTGTATAGTTACAACCACAACTTATATAAAACAATGGGCCTAAGTATCACATATTAGCCCTATGGGTTTCTATTCCTAAATGAAGCAGAAATTACTTTTTCTTACCTTGCAGAGGGGCCATTATTTTTGGGAACATAACTGCCTCACCTTTACAGCCTTAAGAAACAAATAATGTCCCCAAAAGAGAAAGCACAGACCTGCTTGAGAAAAATTGCCTACTACCTGCATACATGACAAGGAATCTTGCAAAGGAGAAGAATCCCTAACTATGAATAAGGCTCACTTCAGATCTTTTGCTAAGAATAAAAGTGATAGGAGTACAATACTTTTAAGCTCATTTTCTGAGGTTAGGTAAAGGAACAGAATTGAACAGAATCTAAATTGAATAAGAACAACTGCACTGTGTCCTGTTTACAGCTCACTTTCAGCAGGAATTGAACAGCATCTTTGCTGAAATTCAAGAATGAGATCTAAAAATTCAATTTAGCAATGAGATAGAAACCAATTCTTGGTAATACAACTAGGACGATGTGTAATCAGTTGGAAGGTCAATGCAAAATTGGGAATTCCACCTCCTATGATTCCTGGAAATTGCAATAAGTGGGTGTTTTAGATTATGAAATTCCACTATGGCCACACTACCTGTTGTTACCTTCTCTTTATGTTAGTTAGATTTCCTAAAAAATATGAAAAATTACAGTCTAGTTATTCTCTTATTTAGTATGACTTTTTTTTTTAAAAAAAGGTTTAATAAGAATTATAGCTCAATGAGACAGCACATGCTTTGCAAACAGGAAGTTCAAGGTTTAATCCTGGATATTTCCAGATAGGGTTATAAAGGACTCCTTCCTAAAATACTAGAAAGCCATTGCTGGTCAGTCTAAACAACATTAAGCTTACCTGGCTAATATATTTGGTACAAGGCAAATTTATTCTATAATTGGAAAAGTATTTCCAAGGACTCACAGACTAGCGTGCATATTATTTCAATAATCTAAACCAGTGGCCCCCAACTTTTTGGGCATTGGGGACCAGTTCCACGGGGGGTGTTTGGGCATGGTTTTGCGCACTGCCTGGATCCCATGCGTGCGCAGATGGGGCTTCACTTGCTTACGTGGCCCAGTTCCTGACAGGCTGCAGACCGATGATGGTCTATGACCTGGGAATTCGGGATCCTGATCTAAACTACTTTGGCATCTTCTTTACTGTGAGAAAAATTATATGTGCAGAACATATTAATCTCATAATATAGACGAGTTGATGAATCCCAAGGTTTCAGATACCCACATACCCAGTGAAATTTTAGCTTAGATGAAATTTGAACCCGTTTATTCATAACTTTTCCTCAAATACACTGAACTTATTTTATTTAAAGTAAATAAGAACAGACTTACAAACACAAATATAAGTGCATTTATTCCGAAATAAATAGTCTCCATATGAAAACAATATTAAAACACTGAGATTGAAATGGATGTACTGAATTTCTTCTGGTCCTGTATTTTGAATTTTTAATAGAGATTTGCATGTTTTCCATCATTCTCCCTGGCCCCCTTAGGTAGGGGATGATGTCACTGAGTTCTGTATGTACTGTATCGGTGTGAAAATTGAAGAAAAGCAAATTGTCTGTACTCAGAGTTGACCCTGGGACAATCTTAAGATGATGGCTGCCCCTCTGCTCCAGATGTGAGGCCTTCCAGATGTTTGCTAAACTACTATTCTTAGCATCTTTCACGAAACATCATGCTGGTTAGTGTTAACAGAAATTGTAGAATAGCAGCAGCTGTAGAACCACATGGCTTCTCCATCCCTTGGGTAGAATTCTAATGTGGATGTAGTCAGGTCAGGACATATCTAAGTTTAATACTGTAGTTCTTCTTAGACCCCACTAGCAATATTTATACTCCAAATTAAAAAGAAAAATTCTTTCTACCGATTTCTTTCCTTCAATTTCATGAGTTTAAATTTGTCAAAATGTAATTAGCCAATTGACATATCCTCTGTGTGAAGCTGTGTTTGAAGATGACTTGGTAGCTGTCCCCAATTAATGACAGTGAGAAGTCAGCCTAGTCATATTATTTCCGTGCTTGAGGCAATTTCCATTGGTTGTCTTATGTCTCTGAGCCCAATACAGTATACAAAAACATCAAATTAGCCTTTCCTATCCATAATTTTGGGATGACAGCTTCCTGACAGCATGGCATAAGAACATTATAATCCCATCAAATATTCAAGGCATCTTGTTGAGGGATGGGTGCACTGAATAATGTGGATCGGGATAAATCCAACCCATGTTATTCTTTCTGTACAAAAAGTATTCTGCTTCAACTGTTTTAATATATTTTTTAAAAAAGGTAATTTCTAAAATTAGTTTTGTTCCCTCACATAAGGAGCTTTTTTATACAGCTTCTCCTAATGTATATAATTGTAAAAAAAGAAACCTCTGTTGTTTCTTTCTTTTTTATGTAACCAGCAATGTTGTAAGCATTAGCCAGAAAGATCATTTTTCCCCCCCAGATTTTTTTCAGATGTTTTCCCATAAATGTATCAGGAAACAGATTTATGACTGCAGAAAGAGAATCCAATGCTTTTCAGTTCTGCCATTTATCCACCAATAAACAAAGTGAAGCAACAAATGCCTAATGTCTACAATTTAGAATTTTGTTTAGGTGAGCCATAAGCAAAGACACAAGCGGAATGTTGTGCTAATGCATTTTCTCAACTTTGGCACTTTTAACATGTATGGACTTCAGCTCCCAGAATTCCCCAGCCAGCATACTACCTAAAGAATTCTGGAAGTTGAGTCCATACATTTTAAAGTTGCCTAGGTTGAGAAATGCCATGCTAAAATGTTCCTTTAAACATTATCAGAAAAGAAAACAACAGAACTCAGATTTGCAATAAAGTATACTAATGTAGCTGAAAATAATAGCAGAAATAAATTCTTATCATTTTCTTTTTCTGTCTCCTGTCCGATTACTTATAGCTGATGGAAACATTCAAGTCTCCTGCTATCCCTTTAATGGTTCTTTAAATCAGAGTTGAATTGGACAATGTGTCAAAGAAGAGGATCTCTTCAATAGCAATAGAATTGCAATAGTAATGGCACTTAGACTTATATACCACTTCACAGTACTTTACAGCCCTTCCTCAGCGAGTCAGAGTCAGCATATGGCCTCCAACAATCTGGATCCTCATTTTACCGACCTCGGAAGGATGGAAGGCTGAGTCAACCTCGAGCCGGTAAGAATCGAACTGCCCAACTGCTGGCAGTTGGCAGTCAGCAGAAGTAGCCTGCAGTACTGCCTTCTAACCACTGCGCCACCATGGCTCTTCAAATAGAAGATTGTCCTCAGCAGCCTTTCATACATTCCTATAAAGGAAAATGCACCGTGGAAAGACCTAAAGCAGTTCCACAATGGGAAGAAGGAACAGATCATGGCAGTTTGGAATGTATTTTTCTTGCAGAAATCTGTAGCATCATATTACAAAAACAAACTAACAAAACAAAGAAGTCTGTATTTGTTGGTATATTTTATCAGTTTTCAACACAACTTACCTATCCCCAAATCAGAGATGGTTTCTAATTCTGTGGCACTATTGGCTTCCAATATTGCTTGTGGCAATCTTAGTGTGTACGGAAGCAGATCTCTACAGAGTAAAAAAGAAAAAAAAAGAAAACAAGAGAGAGAGAGAATATGAGAAAGCAAAACAATGTTTGCTGTGTGTATCAGTAGATTACCCGTATCTCCAAGTTATTGGTTTCTTGTTTATTCAATTTGATGCTGCCTGATTTCAAACATTTCTGGGTTGTTGGTTTGTGAGCAATAATACATTGGTTTGCAAGGTGGTCTCTAGATATGAGGTTCTAGTTAGAACGGAATAGCGGGGGCACCCTTGACATAAAACCAGGCTTTAATTTGCTTGTGTATTTTAGATATTTCTATGGGAATGATAACAATATATTATATCAGCACTGGTGATGTTACCTAGTTTGGGTAATGAAACTTCTGCAAGAAAACAAGCAAGGTCAGAAAGCACCAAGCCCCCTCCCCCTGTTATTTCAACCCTGAACTACAAATATTCTCCATTATTAATATATTATCATTAGAGCAGAATTGAGACAAATGCTATTAGTGTAAGCAAAAAAGAAATGATGAAAAGAGAATTGTAGTGCTGAAAAAGAATAAACTTCGATCTAGAAAATGTACCCAGAGAAATGTGAAAACACGAGTGTCCTTTGCCGATGCAGTGGCTATGTGACTTCTTTTTAACATGCACCAAAATTGCATCAGAGTCTGATGATTGGAAGAAAGCCATTTTTTCTCCCTTGTTCAAAGAAAGGCAGCAAAGTTGAATGGAAGAACTACGTGGGGATTAGTTTCTTTTGCAGGTTTCTGAATGAAGGGTATAAAGCTAGAGGAGAAGACAGTTGCCAAATTTTGGAAGTATATTGCAATTTTAATGGATATGCAGACCACATTTTGGTTCTTTAGCAGTTATTTAGAAATGTATGAATGTGGGAAAGAAAATGCGCTGCACTTCTGCTGCTTTTTAGAAGATGCATATGATGAAGTGAATAGACTTGAATTTAGGAGGAAATGCTTTGAATGAATATGGTGTTGATGGTGCGTTGTTGAATTTGATAAAGTCATGATGGAAATAAAACCTGCATGAAAATCAGTGGAATGCTTAGGAAATTGTTTCAGTGACTAACATTCATCCCTTGTTTATTCGAAATATACGTGGATAAATATGTAAGAAGTGCTTATGTATGATGATTTAAAAGGATGGGGATGTATATTCAGAAGCCTTTTGTAATGACTTTTTCAAAAGAAGTGAAAAAAGACGTAATGGGCATGTTTCTGCTCATTTTATTCTGTTATAAGGAAGTGAGAGTTCAGCGTGTCAGGAGAAATATAAAAATTAGCTGAATGCGGTAGAAATGAACTTGTAATGAAGGGTAGGTGGCTATAGGGATCAGATCACAAGTAACTGAGCATTAAATAAAAGTGGGTGGAAAACAAAACTGGAACACTAGTATAAAATGATACAGTAAGTACAGTGATTTGATTATACAGAGACAATACATGAGTAACAAATCATAACCCAAATAAATGAAGGAAGAGTAAAGGGGTCAAAAGGAAGAGGACAAATGATAAAATCAAGATAAAAAGGGAAATAAGCTTAAAGAACAAAAGGCAGTGAATCAATTTTTATACAAAGGATGTAATGGGAACAAGCTGATTTTGCCAGGACAAGAAGTATGTGAAGAGGTATATAAAGGAGTTTTACCTCTTTCCTTATCTTTGTCCTGCCTACTGCCCTTAATTTCTCTCTGCATTAGTATTTTTTTATCCCCAAAAAAGAAGAGTGTGAAAGCTATGTATATACTGTATGAACATAGATATAAGGCCATGGGTGGTCTCGCAAAGTTTTTTCATTAATTACTTTTTTTGTTATAAACATAGCACTTAGAGCAGGGGTGAGCAACTATGGCATCTTTACATTCTGCAGATTTCAGCTCCCAGAATTCCTGAGCCAAAATGGCTGGCTCAGGAGTTCTGGAAACTGAAGTCATCAAGATGCCATAGTTGCTCACCCCCGCCTTAGAGCAAACATGTCAAACTCGCGACATCACGTGATGTCACGCATCAGAGCTTTTTCGCCATTGTTGGCAATGGGGTGGGCGCGGCTCCAGTATGATGAAACTGGCCCGCTGGCCAGCAGTTTGACACTCCTGTCTTAGAGTCTTTCTATAGTGCTCTGTTGCAGCTCCAACATGGCTTAAAAATTATTGGTCCCATTGCTATCTTTGTCACCCCTCTTCTCAGTCACTACTAGCTTTGCAATGCATGGCAAAGCTTCCATATTTGTATATCCTGAGGCTGTCCTTAGACATAGCCAGAATAATAGAAAACACAATTTTAACACAGGCAGAATTAAGATGATTTAAATCTTTCTCATACCTTTCTCACGCTGTCAATAAACTGAAGGCAACATAATGGAAGCTGAGCAGAAAACAGATGTTGCCAAGATATATTTCTGCCATGATTAGCTACCACTTTAGAAATGTCTTATTCAAGATCTCCACTTGTGATAATTGCCTTTCCTTATTTGGGGATTTATAACAGTTTGTAGCATCATCCTATAACTGCTGTGCCAATCAAACATGAAGAAGGTATAATATACCTGAAAGAACATAAATCAGGAATGATGAAATGGTCACAATGTCTTCTAGAGTTATCCACCCATTATTGTGCTGATATAATAGTAATGAGAACAGGATCTGGATGGTTGGGGAACACTATAAAGGCATTAATGGGGAAGTCCTCTGAAGTACATGCTCTTCATAAGATGTCACTGACTGTAGTTAATCATGCCAACCTCTTGCAATCCAGATGTAATAGGGCTGCAACTCCCAAAATTCCCATTCAGCATAGCTAAAGAGTACAGATTGATTGATGCTGTTTTAAACAAAAATAAATTGATTAACTGACTGCTGCTATCATTGATTACCCATTTATATCCACAAAGGGGGTATCCAGCTTATTCAGCAACCTGCTATTCATGCCAGAAAGTTATCTCACTTAAAATGTCACAAGATGCAGCCATAGAGGTCTTAGCCTCTATGGTAATACAACATGCACATTTGTAATATGCTTCCTGGGACATATTATATTCCCAAATTGTATGGAATTCTGGTCTTGTTCTCTGTGTTCCAACCTATTAGTCCCTATATATACATGTCCTTTCAGGAGACTAGGAACACAAGTTACACTTAGCTATTATAAAGGGTGATGCAGCAAAATATTCTGAGACCACTGATGAAGATTCTTTGTTCTTGTTCCCAACGGAGGTCATTCTTAAAAAAAAAAAAACAGCTTGAAACAGCAAGTTTCATTTAATATATGCTAATAGAACTTGGCTATAGCTTCTCTATATTAAAGAAAGTCATTTTTGTCAGACAATTGGACAAGGGTTAAGCAAACTGCTTGCCTGGGCAAATCCTAAAAAAGGTTAAGAAATGAAGTCACTGCTACCATCCACCCACCCATTCCATTTTGCTGATACTTGTTTTATGTTAGTCCAAGTCCTCCACATTAAATTTTCTTTAGCAAGTGGTCCCATCCAAGGCAATCTCACTTTTCCAAAGCTTTCACAGGACTATTTAGAATAATTGGACTACTTACTTTCAGCCATCACTTAATTATATGCAGCATTTTACTTATTTATTATTTTTTAAAAATATATATATAAAAGATGGTATCTCCCTCCTACTGAGTGGATATATAAAATAAAATTGTTAAGTCAGCAGCTATTTTGGGGTTCCTGAAATAAAAGAGATCCTTTCTGCTATGCAAAAATGGACAGTATTTAGTTAAAAAAAAAACCTCTGAGAGGCATCATTAAAGTACTAGAAGAAAAGAGCTGCCTCTTTCAGATGTTTTGGTAATGTTCTGGCAATTCACATATTGCTGAAGAACTAATTATTTGAACATCAGGTTCACCTTTGTATATCGAATTGGAGGGAGCATGAACAAGTTCCTCATAATACTATAGGTCATTTCGACAGAACTTGTTTGACTTGTTCATGGAGATATTCGAATAAAACAGAATAACAGAATTGGAAGGGACCTTGGAGGTTTTCTAGTCCAACCCCCTGCTCAGGCAGGAAACCCTATACCATTTCAGACAAATCATTGTCCAATCTCTTCTTAAAAACCTCCAGTGTTGGAGCATTCACAACTTCTGGAGACAAGTCATTCCACTGATTAATTATTCTCACTGTCAATACATTTCTCCTTAGTTGTAGGTTGGTTCTCTCCTTGAATAGTTTCTATCCATTGCTTCTTGTCCTGCCTTCAGGTGCTTTGGAAAATAGCTTCTTTGTGGCAGACCCTTAGGTTTTAGAATACTGCTGTCATATCGCCCCTAATCCTTGTTTTCATTAAACATGATTAAACATGACCCTGAGCCTGGTCCTAAATATTGTCCATTTTGTGACCATCTTTTCGCCTTTGCTCACACAATAATAGTTCTGGTTCTGGTTCTGAGGACTCAAAATATCTCTTGGTTATGTTTCCCTAATAATGTTGAATGAAAAAAGACTTGAGACATAATAGTTTCATAACAAGATTGTCTCAAAGCATAAGGTAACCTTGGGTAGTGCCAAACTATTTTCCCCCTCTGCTCTTTGTAGCACTTCATGTATTCAAGATGTATGCAATTATAATGCAAAACAGGTGATGGGGAGAAACAAAGAAGGTATAAGAGGACGTTTTTATAAAGAAAGATCTATTCTGCCTACAGACTTGCTCTGAATGGATGGAATATAATTGGCTGGATTCATATTACTGATTGCAGATAGAAGGTGCCCATTCTGAATGCTCCTTCAAATAAAATACTTCTTATGAATAGAAAGATGTCCCAAATTTGTCTGATCTGCTTGGTTAGGCTTTTTAAAAATTAAGCTAACCAGGAAAGCATTACTAAATGTAATTATCTACACTGCCCCATCCATAGCTTGAAATAACATCTACAAACTGAATTTTGTTATTCTGTTGTGGAAATCATGCCTGCTGCAATGTTATATAGACTACTAGACAATTCATGTCCCATTGGGTCATTGTTTCAGAGACATTTCCTTATCTATACAGAAAAAAAGAATTGCCAAAGGTAAGCAAAAAAAGCAGAATAACAGAATAACAAAGAGTTGGAAAGGACCTTGCAGGTCTTCTAGTCCAACGCCCTGTACAAGCAAGAAACTCCAAACTATTCTGGACAAATGGCTGTCCAATCTCGTCTTAAAAATCTCCGGTGATGGAGCACCCAGAACTTCTGAAGGCAAACTTCTGATTAATTGTTCTCATTGTCAGGAAATTTCTCCTTAGTTCTAGGCTGGATCTCTCCTTTATTAGTTTCCGTACTTTGTTTCTTGTCCTGCCTTCAGGTGCTTTGGAGAATAGGTTGAGCCCCCCTTCTTTGTGGCAGCCCTCAAATATTGGGATAAGCAGTAGAAGTGAATTCTGACTCCTTGCTTGGCTTCCCTGTTGAACTTCTTTGTGGGAAATCTGGCAAGGAACACTATAAATCCTTTCCTTCCTTCCTTCCTTCCTTCCTTCCTTCCTTCCTTCCTTCCTTCCTTCCTTCCTTCCTTCCTTCCTTCCTCCTTCCCTCCCTCCCTCCCCTTTCTAGCAGGTAAGTAAATGGCTGGGCCTGGATGGGACAGTGAGGGATTGTGAAACTGGCTGGTAAACTATCATGGAATATTAAAAATGAAGATCATGTAACCGCAGCACCAGCTAGTAGCATTGAAAGAGCCACAAATTCCCCAAATGTCATTCCCTTGGGAATCATGGGTCCTGGATTTTGGATATATTCTATAAGCCCAGTTGAAATACCTTGATTCACAAATTGTTGTGTTGTATGCACTATTTTACCCAAATTAAAAGTCACTACAAGAAGGAATTTTTGTAGTATATATATATAGATACATGTTATCTTTGTACTCTGAGAATGGACTCTTTTTACTGAGGCATTATGTTGGCAGCAGGAACAAGGAATTCCATGCGGGTGGACAGGCAGGTTTTTTCATGACTCTTCCCTCCCTTGTGGGTTGAGGGAGCATGCTGTCTATTCTACCTAACTCTTGAAGACTATTTTTTGCAGGCTAATCATTTTCACAAGCATATCTGCAAGGTCACTAGGAAATCATCTACCCAACTTACCTACTGACACAGTAGAATGCCACCAATTTGAAGATGTCTTCAAACACAAGAAGAGATCCTTCCAGGTGCAATACTGATGAGAAATAAGAAAAGCATTCAGGGATTGCTCTCACTATATCAGAGAGATTGATGCATGATGGACTCGTTCTGAAATGGTCACTTCATAGCAGGAGAAATGGCAAAAAATGGTGATGGGTCTCATTTCATTGGTGCTGTTTAAAAAATAAAATTTACAGTGACAGATAATTTGACATTTGTCACAAATAATTTGCTGTGAAGTTGAAATGACAACTTATGAGCTAGAATAAAAATAGCGCACATTGCTCCACTTCCTATCAATTTGTTTAAAACCTTCTCAGAGCAAGGATTTTATCCCACTGCTCAAATCTCATTTCACTCAGAAAAGGAGCTACAAATCCTGAACACTGATTATGCCTCAGTAACCTTCAATATGATTAAACAGAACAAAGCATTCTGCAATCACAAGAAAGAGAATAGCTTAGCAAACATAGTCCTGTAATTGGCAGAAAGCAAAACCTTATTTGGTCTGGAAAACAAATACTGTAACTTCTCCTATGCCTAGTTGAAAAGAAGAACTATGAACTTCTCTATGAACTTCTCTAGAGTGAAGAGATAAAGTAGTTATGGAATGACTGGGAATGGCAACCTGAAAATTAGAAGACACCTAAATAGGGAGAATATCTAAAACCAAGTATCTCTTGAATGAACAATTACTAGTTTAGCTTAGTTTATTGATTAGCCCACAGGCCATATCAAAATTCAGAGTTCCAAACACAAATTATTAATAAAATCCTATAAAAATAATTTAAAATGAAATTGGAGTAAAATACATTAATTTAATATATAGATAAGTAAAAGAAGATAAAATTATATTTCAGTATCACCCCTGCAATTCACCCCAATCGACCCCACATATGCCGATCTCAGCCACACCATTTTATTCAAGTACTGTGCTGTGTTAAATGTTGTTTTCAAATTCTGGATGCACATCAGGTGTGTTGTTTTAATATGGCATTCCCAATGGGTCATTCATTTAATATATGAACCAAGGTACCTGTCTCTCACCCTCTTATACAAACAACAATCAAATAGTATGTGAGCCAAGTCTTCTACCTCCACCACCCCGAAAATGCAGATACGTCCTTCATATGGTAGAACACTTACTCTATATGGTTGCTATTGGACAGTCTATATTGGCTTTTTCAGCAACAGTATGGAAATGATTTGCCATTACCTATTTTTGTTTTTTTTTAATTGCCCAGTCCAGTCTAAACCCTGGATTTTTTGGGACGTTTCCTGAGCACTAACTGCTGAGGTTGTGCAGTGACTCCAATTGGAAGGGAGAAATATGATTCAGGTACTTGTGGGCATGTGTATAATGTAAGCATTGCCTTACATTAATCTTCTTCTTGGAATCCTGTACAAGACCAGAAAGCATGCCATTGTTTACGGAGTTGCTAACAGGTACTATGGGTAGGCCCCCTCCATACTCTGAATTACTTTTTCCTTAGCCATTCCAAAGGGGGTTGAATCAGCTAAGCTTTTGGCCAGCTACAGTTATAACAGGAATGACTGGAGGAAGGGAAGGAGGGAAGGAAGGATTTCCTTGTTAAACTTGATTTAAAGTTTGAACTCAGGGAGCGTCTGCAGGAGATGAGGGGGAGGGGATCAAAAATTCAAGATGGTGCCACAACTATACAGTCACAGATCTACCCTATTTTTTTATATGAGATGATAAATCATCTCATCATATTTAACTCACTCTCCTCTATTAGTTGGGTTTTGTTTGTGGATGGATCTTAAATTCTATCCTGAATAAGTGTTCTTGCAAAATCTATAAGCTTGCTCACAATTATGTGACAATTAAGACCTGGTTTCACTAAAGCTACTGCATGACTTTTGTTTTCACATTTAGTCTGACAAATACATTTTCTAAAACACTCCCACACTCTGGAAACAAGACAAATAAAGTGCCTTATTCCAAAAAAATACAGAAGAGAAATGAGGAAATAGTGATCTTTCGCTAGAAGCAGGTTTTTTTAAGAAGTTCAGCCTAACAGGAAGGAGATTTAGCTTCATAATGGAATTTTTTTTATGCATGATAGCTATCTTGAGCTGTGCCTCAAATCGTCAGAGTGGAGCTAACATCAACTCTATTATACCTTTAATCAGTAACCAGCTTTGACCAGGACATAGAAATGACCTTGACACAGGAAGCCTGGTCAACTTGTCAATAGCAAATTAATAGTTGGAGACAACTGTCCCAGGGCTGCTTCCTCCCCTGCTCTCCACTCTGTGCCATTTTATAACCTCCATTGTATCTTCACTGTCCTTAACAAAGTGAAAAACATAAATAGATTGCAACCTGAATAGTTAAACTCAAGGGTTGATGGTGACCAGCCCCATCTCTTAAAAGTTTATCCAGCAAAGAAGACACAGGCTATCCCTTGCATGGCTCCCCCTAATCAATGCTGGTGAAAAACACTTTTTCGATACCAGCTACTCCTAAAAGGCATTCCTCCTACTTCTAAGCATTCCAGCCTTTAATTTTTTTTTTTTTTACTGTACCACTTAATTTTATTCTTTTCATCACCCGTCTCTCTGAAATAATACAATACATAGTGTTACTAGAGGCACGTCTGCTCACTGGGCTGTTTAGGGCTATTCCTACGATACAGAACAAAAAAAAAAAGGTAGTTAACCTACTCAAACAATAAACTTCATGGCGGAGAAGGAATTTAAGTCCAAAGGCTCCAAATCAGTGTTCATTTCCTGAGCTAGAATTTTGGCTCCAACAGCATGATGTGAGTCCAAGTTGTGACAAATATTCTCAGGAATGTTTCTCTGGAACTGTACTTCATTCTTGGTTGCATAATTCTGTAATCTGCTTTTTATATTAGCCCAACTTTAATACTTTTACTTGTAAATGTCAACCAATCTACACTGAATCACAGTTCACCTCAATAATATCCCTTTGCCTTTCACATTTAATCTGCTTATCGTGCTTTCTGAAAACTGCTAAAGCAATAAAGCTATTAAAGCAATGCTTGTCTTTCACAAAATGACTTAAACTGTAAGAAATCTATTAGACTGTCAGAGACATCCTTGCTTCCCTCAGAAAATATAAATAAGAGAACATTTATTTTCTAATTATCTAGAACTCGCTAATACTGTAGGTGGGCAACTTACCTAAAATATGGAAAGATACCAGAGGCACGACCCTGATCTTGCTCCAATGTGCTGTGGTCACGGTTACTAAATATGGAGAACTGACACTGCTATCTTTGGCACATTGCTGAAGCTAAAAATAAAGCCAGTGACCATGACTGGAAAGCAACATTTCCAAGGCTCCGCTCTGTTTTTCTATGAGACAATGTCTTGGCATTGTAAAGGATCAAGTTTGAAAGCCTGCAGTTGTTCTTATGCTACTTCTAGAGCTGTTTGATTCTCTGCTGTTGTTGGGAAAAAGTTCTGCCTTTTGACCAGACCATCTTTAGAGGGAGTACTGATTGAACAACCAGAAGGTAGGTTTGTTTGTCCCCAAGCTGCTGTCCCCTAAAAAGGCACCCTGGCCCTCATTCTGAGAACAGATTAGGAAGCAATCTCATGTCCTGTAGGCCAGTATTTGTACTACCCATGTGGTAAAAAGAGTAAATACAAAAACAATATTAACGTATTTTTAAAAACCAAAGAACAGAATTAAAACATTCTTAGGAAGTAGTAGAGCTATAGTAATCGTTAAAAAGTATAAAATCATAGTAAAGAATCATGAAAATAGCTAAATTCTAACACCAAAACGGTTCTTAAAACGCCTGAGAAATAAAGACAAAGACTTGATTTGTTGCCCCAAAGTTCCTAATGTTAGCATCAAATGTGCCTTTTGGGGGAGGTTGCATTGCCTCCAACAAGGCCCTTTCTTTGACACTAGCATTTCCTCATTAGGTAGGGACATCTGGAGAAGAAGCTCAGATGAAATTCTTATATACCTACAAGTTAAATATAGCAGCAGTCACACCAGTTGTGAGACTTTTTGAGAGAAACCTTGCAGTAGACCTCATTACTGTGCTGGAGTCCTTTATGCTATAAATGGTTAAACTTTTCAACATCAGTGCCTTAGGAATGAGGTCCAGTGCTGCTTAGGAATTTATGGTTTTCGTGTCCCAGATTATATCAATCCCTACTCATATATTGGTGATTAGCAGTTTAACTCAGAACAAATGGCATGTGCATCTGAAAATGGGGGACATTACCTTTAGCTTTGGGGCATGGTGAGATTGATTGTTTTCTGGTCAAGCTGCACATTACTGTTGCCTAGAACTGTTGTCCCGCTACTGTAGAAGTGGTAGGCAGAAATGTATCTCAATAGCTTCCTGTAAGTATTTTGGAATTTTACTAAACCTCTGGAAGGCATCACCACCCTTCACCTCATTGCCTGTTGGAATAAATATGAGATACCAGAGGGTTCAACTGTCCTTTCATTGCTCTTTAAATTTAAATCAGTGGTTCTCAACCTTTTTAATGCCGTGACCCCCAACCGGTTGTAAGTCAAGGACTACTCAACTGGTGCAGCACCGTTTGCAGAATGGGACTTTTGGCGGGCTCAGCAGGGCAGAGACAGCCTGGACAATTCCTATTGGCTTTTGAAACCCAATAGAATTAGACTCTATTTAAGAGAGTCTATTCTATTGGCTTTCAAAAACCAATAGAATAAAAGGGAGTAGCACAGCTAAGGAAACAGGAAAAAAAATGGCGGACTGCGTTGTTTGGCGACCCCCGTGAAATAGTCGTTCGACCCCAAGTGGGGTCCCGACCCACAGGTTGAGAACCACTGATCTAAATGAAGATCCTGGGAGGGGACATCTGGTTTGTGTGTGTGTGTGAGTGAGTGAGTGAGCGAGAGACTGAGTGAGAGAGACAGAGAGACAGAGAAAGAGACAGAGACAGAGACACACAGAGATCTTTAAACTGCCTCAGGCATGTCACGTATCACAATGTTGCAACTGTAGACTGAAAGGCTCTGGCAATTGCAAAAAGCTTTAGCTTTAAATTAAGCCTGTTTACCTTCAAAGAAAACTTTCTAAAAGCCACAGACTCAATTAAAGGGGGTAAAACTAATTACATTTGTTTAAAGGGATTAAACGTTTCCTGTTGTCTTTTTTCTCTTCCTCTATCCAAACCATGTTCTTTTATAGCCTCTCCACTCTTCCCCCCCTTTTCTTCAGTTCACCTCCAGCTCCCAGCTGCTTCTGGAAGCGCCAATCAGCTGGAGCTAATCAGCTGGAGCCCTGCTGGCTCCTGGGCTTCTGCCAAGCCCAGACAGTCCTGCAGCTGCCTCTCCTTCAGGCTTGGCTCATTCCCCTCCCCTGCTACACTTGGCTAGCAGTCGCATACCACCTGCCATGTGGCAAAGTATCACAAGTGGTATGCATACCACCGGTTGAAAAGCCCTGGTCTAGACCAGCCTTCCAACCATTCTCAGTATCCTCATCCTGCTAATTCTCCTGCCCCAATCTGTCCTTTTTCTAAGAAACTGTCATTCATTCTCACCTGTGTCTGATAAGGGGTGTTCTTCACTCCACTCTCAGGCCTTCAGAGAACATTCTGAAGTCACTTTGATACTATTATATCTTGGAAGATAATTAGGATGCTTCCATCAGTCATTACTTTTCCTCTTTATGTAATATGCAGAATTGCAATTGACAATCTACACTCCAGGAACCTACAACTTACAAGAAGTACACTGCAGGAATAACCAAAGGATCATTGGCATTAGGATCAGGAATAAACTGGGGAGAAAAGTAAAGGCCCCCAAGAGGCACCTGGGATCTGTTAAAGTGACTAACACTCTCATAAGATAAAGTTCTCAAAAAGTAGCACGTGCCCAATATTTCTTGGGAGACAGCTTGGAACACAGCCAACAGTTAGCTTGCTTCACTCCACCTCTTCTCATTCAATTTGGCCACATCAAAAATAGTGATGAGATCTGGTTGGAACCAACTAATATTTGATTTCTTTGGACCCAGAGCTGCATTTGGCTACAACTAGTTTCCAGCTGCAGCCAAAAGGAGGTGTTCGGTCATCCTGGCTGAGATCACTATCATTTGGTTCCAGACTCCTAGAATGATCTCATATGCAGGCTGCATAATGACAGATCCTAACAGAAAGATTCAACAATAGGGTACAAATGTAACCTCAAGGGTCAATGCTGATATGGTTCCATGATGCAATTAGTCTAGACACTTTTCATGAATTGTGTTAAAATATGCTCGACTGTATTTGGAGGATTAATGATATTTTGCAAGGGATACTGAATTGCAATGCATTTCCAGATAATTACAGAAACAAGCTGAAGCAAAATGGTCTGCTCAATTGAAAGAATAAAGCTGTCTTTTCTAAGCCTGTCTTGTTTTTTTTCCTTCCATTTGCTCATTAGTTTCCATATGAATAGTGCAGAAATGCAGCAGTGATATCATACCTCTGGGATTGTTCAAGCTAATTTAACTCTCTCTTAATCACGATATGTTGTATACCATAAAACCCATGAAAATTCCCTATTCTGAGAAATGTTTGCACTTTTTTTACTTCCTTCCAAGAGCAGCAGCTCAGCAAATATGAGGGTGTGCAATGCTGCTTATCAGAAAATGAGATCAAGTGTGCTGAGGAATCAAAGACTCAGTTTTTTTCCAGGAAGGAGGACACTGTGAAGTTCAAATTGCGGAATGCTATGGAAGCATGTTCACACACACACACACAAACACTCACTCACTCACTTTTAATGTTTGGATTCTTTGACACAACTCACTACACTTGAGAATGTGGCTTCTGAGAATAGCTAGGACAAAAGAATTAATCTGCAAGAGGCCACTGTGGGCCAAGCCACAGAGAACAGCATGCTAAATGTTTTAGTGCTCTGGAATAGCCATTAGCATTTGCATTCACTTAATCACCTTATTACCAGGAATTGGGAACAGCAATGAAATGAAAAGTAACCTGGAAAATTGCCAGAGAGATGTGGTGATTAAGGAGGGACAGACAACCCATTTCAAAACCCAAGGAAGGAAAATGTCATCTCCCTTTATGAGCCAGCAGGTAAAACTGGTGTAGCATAGTGTGTAACACAGTATTCCTGATTCAGGGTCAGCCTTTTTCATGCATTTTTCTGTTCTGCACATCAGCCTTATTCAGAAAGACAAGGCTTTTGTGGAATTCCCTACCAAGAGATACCAATCACCAGTTTGAATAACACTGCAAAAGGAACAGGTAAAGTTACATAGATTTTCTAAGATCCGTAATAGGAAAAATGGAAACCTCATAATATTAACGGCTGCTCCAAGCTAAAGTGGCCATATGTCCAAATTTGCTGCATTTTATTTTAAGGGCTGTCCAGTCTTAGTTGGTTAAAGATTAAAAAATGAGACCTCCCTAGAGTTTAATACTGTATAAGATGGGCAGCTAGGAAAGAAAAGAGAGCAACATTCTTGAAAACTGCCCCTCCTTGTTAATGCCCAGACAAGAATTGAGTAGCCACAATCTTGTGCATTATGACAAAGGGGACACAGACCATTTGATCACAATCTCTCTAATATGGAAAAATGTATTGCTTTTCCATTTCAATCATAATAGCTCTGCTGTTCCATTTTTGTTCATCGGTATTTTTTTCCTGATGGATAAACTTCCACCCAGTGGAAACAGTGAGCTGGACAGAGATTTTCTGATACACTATGACAAGAAGCCTATCACCATCTGGCAACAGATTTATTACTACATTACCACCAGATGCCAATACTCTAGTCCAGCACTTGGTTTTTAGTATCGGTCAGCCAAATATTATTAAATGGTCCATAAACAGAGCATAAAAGTAAATCCTTTTCTTTAGTGTAGGTCTCCAGCATTTGAGATTAAGCAATATAATACTCCTGAACCTACAATATCCATTTATCTATCATGGCTAATAACCTCTGATAGTGCTATCTTCTCTGAATTTATCTAATATAATTTTAAAATCATCTTGCTAAAAAAAAAAAAACCCCACCAAGGAAGAATCTCTTCCTCTCTCAAAGGACAGCACTCCTGAGAAGATCCAACTCAGTCCTACAGTTCTAACAGAATAACCGAGTTGGAAGGGACCTTGGTGGTCTTCTAGTCCAACCCCCTACTCCAGCAGGAGACCCTATACCATTCCAGACAAGTGGCCATCCAGTCTTTTCTTAAAAGCCTCCAGTGATGGAGCACCCACAACAACTTCTGAAGGCAACAAGTTCCACTGGTTAATTGTTCTCACTGTTAGGAAATTTTTCATTAGTTCTAGGTTGCTTCTCTCCCTGATTAATTGCCAACCATTGCTTCTTGTCTTGCCTTCTGGTACTTTCAAAAATAGGATAATCCCCTCTTTTTTGTGGCAGCCCCTCAAATATGGAACACTGCTATCATGTTACCCCTAGTCCTTCTTTTCACTAGACTAAATAAACTCAATTCCTGCAACCGTTCAAGCCCCAGAATCTGAAGTTCATAGCAAATGTATATGCAGACAAATATACTGTAAATATATGTACTGAAACAGATCATAATGTGGGTATAGTGTGCATAAATATGTGGAATGTGTTTCAAGAAGGAAGATAAACTTACATGATTTTTCTTCTTTTATCTTGTATTCTAGAATGTCACATCCCTCTTTCTGGGCTGGAAAATGAACTAACAGGAATAGATTTTTCAAGGTCTCATCTTTCCGAACCAGAAATATCTAAACAGAGGAAAAGGGGCAAATGAGATTATATGAGAATATAAAAATATTTTTCTCTCATTTAAAAATATCAGATCTGAATTGTAAAATAAACACACAATTTTATTACATTCTTACCAAAATTACAGTTTCACATATTCTTGTTATGATCAGTTTAATACTGGAAGAAATGTTTGGATTGTTTTAAAATCAAGTTTGGTGTGTAGTTATAACATTTAAAGCAGTAACCTGTACCCCCATGAATTGCTTTCTTTCTTTCTCATTGAAGAAATTTGAAGAAGAAAAGCTGATGTGCTTCTACTGGAAAAATATATAATTATTAAGAGTTCATAGCATTTTGAATCAGATAAACTGAATGCATAAATGTGCAGGTATGCATTGTAAGGATATGGAAGTGAATTTCTGTATTCTTGGTATTGTACCCTGAGTATGTCAATCACTGCTCAGAGTCACTATAGATTTGGGTGTCTTGTAAAAGAAACATTCCTAGTTGATGGGATATGGGCAGCAGTGTCTTGGCCCACAAGTAAAGTTCTTCGTTTGCATATCATAACATAAGCATGCTTAGGATAGAATTCAGTTTTGGTTGTACTTGTGGACTTTGTGCTTTGGCTGCATGTGTCCAAGCTCATCAGTTCTGTCATTACATGCAGCACAGAATGCTGCATGTGGCACCATTATAATGAGTAAGCTAGTCTATTTCTTCTCCAACTTATAAAAAATATTTATGTGAAAGCTTTAGTTGAAGAAATCCATAATGTCAGGCAGAGGTCAACATACATGGGCCAGTCTGGTGACGATATACAAGACCGCAACCTGTTATTTGAGAACAGTGAATGGTAAATAATATGACTTAATAAATGAAATGAAAGAAAGGTAATGTATGGGCTAAAGCCAAGAAGGCAGGAATCAATTATTCTCAGGCCAGACAAAGCCATTATGTAAATATGAAGCAGATGTTTCTGACTCTGAAGGATGGGGGGGGGGGAAATGACCAAAAGTCAATTGACTCAAAAAGTCTAGGAGTTAAACTCTTGAAATAAAATTTGCATGAGAACAAATGAATTACACTGAGAAAGAAACAAGACAAGGATTTTTTTTCCTTACATGTACTTTTCTTTGTAAATGAGATCATGTTGTTTGCAAGAATTCAAATTATTTACTGCTGATGATTAGGTAGATTGTATAGTTTGATGAAACAAGAAATATGGATCTGAAAATTAATAAAGATCAAGGTTTGACAGGTTAAATGGAAAGAAACTTACACAGAAGTAATGAATAACAAGAATAAGTAGATGAATTTGTAACTTGAAAACTGTATGATGAGAAATTAGATGCAGAAATTTTAAGATGTGCAAATACTTTTGGAAAGGCAAAGCATAGCATAAATGTAAGTTGAATCAGAGTGTGGTAATATAATAAGAGATTGGGTAAATAGATTCTAAATGGATGGATTCTGAATGAACATGCATTGAACACAAATGTGAGAGACAAATGGAAAAAGAAGGATGTTCAGGTGGCTTTCACACATTGAATGAATAAGGACTGAATTGCAAAAACAAGGAAGAAGGAGGGAATGGGCTGAGAAGAACAGGAAAGTCAAGGGAATTATGATTGAATAAATTTAATGAAATCCTGAAAAAATGAGAAGATTGAAATACAAAAGGCAACGTATTGAATGAAGGAGAAACAATGTGCTTTTCCTTTCTTCATTTTGCATAACTTTGCTTCCCCTAAAAAGAGACAGTATAATGAACATGGATTTGACTGATGGCTTGGTTGTCGAATTTATAGCCACATATTCCTGGTGCATTTATGTGTATAAGTTTGAATAATTTAAGCACTAGGGGACATTGGTCATTGTGCAGCTAGCTTTATCACACAGATTCAGCCACCAAACTGATTCAGTAAGATCAGTATGGATTCCTAGCTTTTGTGCCATCTGTTAAGTTTAACTGGAAATTCATATAGCCTTACAACCCATTCTGGATTCTAACATAGAAGATGAATCCAGCTGAGAGGAAAATGTGGGAAAATGTTTGTAGGAAGAAATGTTAGTTGCAGGAAAAGTAGGAAGAACATATGTCAAGGACCTACAGAAATGCTTGATCCTAATGGTTTCGGCATACCAAATGAATCAGAAACCATCCTTCTATGGTAGCATGGATTTCCTTTAGGTCCTCTCTCTTAATGAATGTCAGAACTTTTACATAGATGAATGATCTCACTTTGTTGTCACAATTCAGTTTGGGAGAGCTTCTTAATGGACTGTGGAATGGGAAAAGAGGATCTACTCCTTTTTTCATTTTCTGAATCATAGCTCAAAGAGTCTATAGTTTCTCAGTCATTGACTAATTTGATTTGACCTGGAAATAATATTGTCCAAAATGTGATCACAAATAGGAAACAGGAAAAGTTTGTAAGTATTGAAAACTGTTTTGTTATAAATAACTTTTTCCACATATTAAATTTCAAGTTTATTTATTTATTGTAAATTTTGCTCAGGACTCTTGGGAAATTGAGTTATGAATTAACATTAATAAATACATTTTTACAATTTAATATGCCTTTTTATTCTTGGAAATTTAGTTGCCCAAACAAGGGATTAAATGCTTCTTTTACTGCCCCCATTTTGCCTACTAATGATCCCCTAATCCAGTGTTTCTCAATCTTGACAATTTTAAGGCATGTGGACTTCAACTCCCAGAATTCCACAGCCAGCAATGCTGGCTGTGGAATTCTGGGAGTTGAAGTCCATATGCCTTAAAATTGTCAAGGTTGAGAAACACTGCCACTAATTTTTGTCAAGGTTGAGAAACACTGTCAATTGTCAAGGTTGAGAAACACTGCCACTAATTTTTTTGATAAGGTTTGCTTAAGTAATAGGTAATACCTACTTTGTCCCTTTCTGTAGGCATCTAATTAGAGCCTGAGCTCTAATTATGACAAATTATGTGAGCTTGCCCTTATTTATTTGTTTCCCACATTTATTATTTTTTATAAATGACTCAAGGTGGCAAACATACCTAATACTTCTTCCTCTTCTTATTTTTCCCACAACAACAATAACTTTCTGATTGTGGATTGGACTGAGAAAGAATAACTGGCCCATAGTCACCCAGATGGTTTTCATGCGTAAGTTGGATGAGAAGACTTATAGCTGACATTTTGCCTTGGGCCAAATAGAATGTCAAGAGCTTTAAAAATGGACTAATTATAGACTAATTATAGACTGCTGCTCTTATTACAAAAGTGGGAAAGTAAAGCTAGCAATGCTAATGATGCAGTAATATGCAATAGCATGTAATATGTAATAGCAAAAATGTATTGATAAAAGGAAATGAAAGAAACTTATTTAATAGGTGGCAAGGCAGAATTATTGCATACTGAGATATTTTCATGGAAGTAAACCTTCACACATTTCTGAATCTATTGAAATCAAATCCACAAGTTTCCTCCAAACAATTTCACCACTCTATCCACTCATTATAACATTAACAAAAACTTCCATATAACTATAACTATGGGTTTATCCACAGCTAAAGTAAGGTTTTCTTTGTGGTGTTAAGGAATGGACATATCAGTGGTCTCCTAATTTTATTGTTCTTAAAACGTTCTTCATTATTGTTATCATGCTGTTGTCAAGAGATGTTGTCTTCAGTCCTGCACCAAATTTAATTTCTGAAGTATCGCATAGCACTATCAAATAAAGCAAGGGACAAAACCTAAGTGTCTGTTGATACACATGTTTGTTCCAATGCCAAGTCCATGAAATCACCTTGGAAAGCTTTCTATCTTGCTTTCTCAAAAAACACCCTGTGAAACCTCAGCCACATCATATTTTCAGGCAGAAGCACCTGTAGGATTTATCATCAAAATGACTAGGGCAGTTGCACCATTGCAGCACAAACCCCCTTTTACATGGAAGTGACATTATGGTGTGCTTACAAAAGAAAAGCTGAGATCAGTTTACATCAGTTGCCCTCCAGTTCCTATCAAAATCCTCTGTGAGTGTCACTGCCTTCAAGGTGATTTTGAAGAAGGCACAGCAGTGGATTCTTAAGGCATTCCACTTAAGACCTAGGTGCTATGGGAAATACAGAAGGCTCCACCACCTGGAAACTATATCTTACATAGCAAAGAAAGCCATGCCATGGATTTGCATCTTTTCCCTCCATCAATCCCTAGCCTATAGTTTAATTTTTGTTTTACCCTACTGCAGAATATATCAATGGTTTTAATCAGGTGTCCACCAAGATACCAACATTTCTTTCAGGGGCACTGAAAGCCCATTCAAAATACATTATTTAATATAATGAATCTTCACCATTGGGTAACCCATTTATCTGCTGTTCCTTCTAGAAGTTTGTAAAAAAATATACGTGCTTTGAATTTTATTACTCGCATCTGAAAATTAGACTAACTTCCTATTCCCTGTGATCCAGTTCATTTGAGACTAGCATAAATAAGTTGATTGAGATACAAAGCTGCCTTCATTGTGATTATCCATTCTGCTTTTAGCCCTTTCATATTCTCTACCAAGGCCTGTCTATTGTAAAGAGCTGTCTCTAAAGTGGGGAGAAGGTTTTTTGGAAGTCAGAATGACACAAGAAAGGAAGGAGAAATGCGCTAGAGGGAATGACTGCTAAGGACAGAGCCACTGGGACTGAGCAGCAAAACAAATGCAAATGGAGCTGGGTTTAGAAGAAAGTAGAGATGAGATATATAAGGGAATAAGGAGATGAAAGGCTCTCTGTGGAAAGGATTGGTATAAAAATAAATATGTCCACCAGTTTTCCCCAATCTGTCCAGATAGCAAAGTTGGGAATTCTGGGACAACTGAACTGAGTAGGTTGATAAGGACCAAATAAGAGTATATGTATTAGCAATCTGCTGTGGTATGTATTTGTTTCTTTTATTCAAAGATAGCAGCTGGTACTACAAAGGAATAATAAAAGATGAGAGATTTGGTAAATGGGAATTGAAGTGTAATTTTGTATTGCAGATCTGAGTTATTTACAAGCAGCACTTGTTGAATATCAACGAGCTACAGCCTTTGTGTTTTTTCAATCATGTAATAGTTATAAAGTATTTTATGGTCAACAAAATTGCTACAAAAGTTAGTGTGGAAATAAATCCAAGGTGTATTTTCTTTTCATCCCTGCAAACTGAAGCAGAGCAAAAGATAGAACAAAATCTCCCAACAGATCTCAGTAAAATGTCACTAGATTTCCATACATGCATATGTATCACACAACACTTTTTTTGGATAAGCTACATTATATAAAGCAAAGGAAAAATGAGAAATGATAAATAAGAGAAATTAAAGTTAGCAGATAAGAGAAAGACTCAGTCATTCTCATGCTCATTCATGACCAGAGCACCACAACATACTTGTCTTGTTCAGGTTTCTCAATTTTTGTATTCAATCCTCATTCATTCATTAAATTGCAACCCTATATTATCAATAATTAAAATTTCCTCTCCCTGGACCAAATGTGACTGTTATAATAAGGAAAATTCAATCCTTGTGTGTCAAACAAAGTAAATTCTTCAGCTAAGCATGTACTTAGAAGCAGATGCCAGTTTCTAAAATGTTTTGCACACTGTCCTGGGAAAAAAAGTTTGTTTGGAAAAGCTGCATATGAATTTTTAAATAAATCAAATGAATAAATCATATGCTGTATCTGGTTCTGAATAGCCCACCTGGAGAGGCTAGTAATCAACAATAACTTGTCATTCCTGGTGCCTGCCACTCTCAGGCTATCCTGCATTGATGTTTCTAAGACAGGGGTGTCAAACTCAATTTCACTGAGGGCCGCATCAGCATTGCAGTTGCCCTTGGGGGGGCCAGGTGGGTGCGGCCTACTGGGTGGGTGAGGCCAGTTCTACATCATTTGCATCAAGAGTGCCTGTGGGGACCTGGGTAGGAGTGAGACAGATCTGAGGGTCTCTGGGAGAAGGGGGTGGGACTGAGGCAAGTGCCAAAGCATGGTCCACTGGGGCAAGTGCCAAGATGGCCACCAAAAAATTGTATATTGGCTCCTGGCTGGCCTGGGCCAGGACCAAGGCAGCGGGGTCCGTTCCCTCACTGTTTCCAGGATGGCTTTGTGGGCCACATGAAACCACTTCATGGGCCGCATCTGGCCCCCAGGCCTTGTGTTTGACATGTCTGTTCTAAGATGAGACATGTTGGTTGGCAATTCTGATGAGGGGCAAGCTGATTAAGGCCGGTCTGTACTATTTATGCCTTCAGTGCTATCTAACAATCAGTCCTATGAACACTTGAGGAAATGACGAATCTATAATGGGGAAACAAAGCCATCGGTCAAATGCAGATTAGCCGAAAGATCTGATTCAGGATTAGATTGAGGTTTGAGAAAGAATATCTGATCCTTGAAGAACTGAGTTATATTTGAAGAAGCATAACTGTACCCCCGATGGTTCCTTGCAGAGTATGTCAGAAGCCTTTTCCAGATTGATGCCAAACTGAAGCCAAACTGGGCAGCTTTTGATGAGCTTCTCAAGGATACTGTTCCTCTGCAGGTGAAAACAATTCCTCAGAGCAACAGGCTGACTTGATGGACCTTTATCTTCCTCCTCCTTTCCAGTCTCTGTAGCAGGCCTGGAGAAATAAAACAAATTCCAATCAGATTGTTAATGGCAATTTGTCTTTAATAAAAATGTTATATATATTTCTGTGTGTGAGTGTATTATGCAGAGGATGGGAACTTGCAGTGATTCAGCTGGGATTAGCTTCAAACACTCTGAATTTATGGTCCTTAAGTACATAACTGAATCAGTGCAGAAGTTAATGGCTATAGGATTAGTATAATTTAAATTTACATTACTCTCTAAAGCAGTGGTTCTCAACCTGCGGGTCGGGACCCCATTTGGGGTCGAACGACCATTTCACGGGGGTCACCAAACAACGCAGTCCGCCATTTTTTTCCCCTTTTCCTTAGCTGTGCTACTCCCTTTTATTCTATTGGCTTTTGAAAGCCAATAGAATAGACTCTCTTGAATAGAGTCTAATTCTATTGGCTTTCAAAAGCCAATAGGAATTGTCCAGGCTGTCTCTGCCCTGCTGAGCCCGCCAAAAGTCCCATTCTGCAAACGGTGCTGCACCAGTTGAGTAGTCCTCGACTTACAACCGGTTGAGTAGTCCTCGACTTACGACCAGTTGGGGGTCGTGGCATTAAAAAGGTTGAGAACCACTGCTCTAAAGAAAGGCGCACATTCAAATGCAAGCATGTGTGACTATGGAGGAGAAAATTTTAAAGAAGTGAAAATAGTAGAGTCAAACTGACAAATTATTCTGGAAAGCTTGGTGAGATGTTTCTAGGACTTTGTAAAACATATCTTCTACTTCTATGTCAGTAGTCCCCAACCTTTCTGATTTTGCGGATGGCAATGGCAGCAAGGGGAGAGGGGATGGTTCCATGCAAGCAGTGGGCAAGCACACTCATGTGCGCAGCTCCATTTGTGTAAGCAACGGGCACCCGCCGCTCCCACAAGTGGAGTTTTGCGTGCTTGCCCGCTGCTTGTGCGGCCCAGTTCTGAACAGGCCGCAGCCTGGGAGTTGGAGACGCCTATTCTATGTTACCTCAAGATCAATTAAAACTGCTAAGAACAAAAGGTCTAAAAATAACCTACTACTTCAAAATCAGAATTATAGAGCACGTTCCCACCAGAACACTCCAAATCTTGTAATTTTTACAAGTTTGTCAAATATCTGTTTGTTTACTCAAACACCTAACAGTTTGTCGCAATAGATTCTCTGCTGCAAGCAAAGCAGTTTGCTGCTTTCACTTCAAATTGCATTTTGAGATGATTATCAGAGAGGGCAGGTTACAGCAGGCCAGAACTTAAGCAAATGAAAGTGTTAATGGGTCCCTAAAGTGACTCTGCAAGAGGATCATTAGCAAGTTAAAAATACTTAGATTGTTGTCTATCTAAAGTTAGATTTGTTCACAGATGCAAAGAGCAGATGCAAAGAGCAGCATTTCCAGAGAGTGATATTTTAAACTCCCCCTGCTGCCTGTACTATTATTGCAAGAAAAAACACATGATGGTACCAGTAAACCATAATGCCCAAACATATTGGAGGAAAGAAGAGATTTGGAGCTGAAAGATAATGAGGGAGGGTCTCAAAGGATGGTCAGCATTCTGCTTTATAAAGGACAGTCCAATATTTCAAGAACCAAAACAGATGATGGAACTTAACATTGGCTGATCTCAACGCAGCTACATACATTTGGACTTGGTTAATATCAAGTACAGGAAGCCATTCTATTTGTGGCCATGGAACTTACATTGATATGGCCATCAGAAATTAAGCTTGACTAAGATAAGCTATTTTTACAAATTGTAAGGAGACCATCTATTCTTTGATGGTATCAGAGTTGCCCAGAGTCACTTTATCGAGGAATTGGAGCAGCATGTAAATTTAATAAATAAATCAAAGAAATAAATCTTCATCTAAAGGACTATTCAGTCTATGACTGGCTCAGATCAGTTTTCTGAGCATCTTCACTGGCCTGATAGAAACTTACTGATTCTCACCCAGTCCTTGTGTCTCCTTCCCCCATCTATTTCCACCATGAAGGAAGGCCATAATTTTCCTAAACATTACCATGTTTTTATTTTTCTTTTGGTGATACCTCTGCAGCCAGCAGGAATAGTCAGTTCTCAATAGGAGGGGTTTCCTATCACATCTGATTCCTTTTTTTCCTCAGTCAAAATGCCCCATTTCAGTATGCAGTGGAATATCTTCCACTTCCTCTCTTCAACACATAGTTCCTTTCTCATGAAACTTTTAATATAAAAGTGTTGTTTACAGCATCCTTAAGAAGGCGCCTCTCCAATTTCACAACTTGATGACTGACAGCCACTAGAAAAGGCTCTTGAATGCTCCCAGTGTTAAGTGGGGAGAGTCTTTGATTTCATGGTTAAGGTTGCCTTCTTACTCCCCATCCTCCATATGTATACTTGAAGCAATAGGAAACTCAGATTCTGTTATTATGAGGCCTTGATATGATGGCTGTACTTGTGGTAAATGGATTTTCATTGAGCTAAGTTAAACAAAGCATATGTCTTCTCCTTCTTAGCAAGAAGGCCCCCTACTTAACATCCATTTGTTTTGGCTTAGCAGAACAAATAATACTAATATACACTAGCAATTTGCTCTTGAGCTGCAAGTTTGTGTTTGTGACATAAAGCAAAAACTGGAGCCAAACTTGTAATAAAATTTGGAAGTGACTTTCCAAATTTAAATGCAGTAATGAGGTTTAGGGTATATTAAGCAGTAATTAAACATGCAAGCTGTATTTAATTCAGAATATATGCAGAAGAATAATTTAGGTAATGATATGGTCTTATTTCAAGGTAAGAGGATTGCAGACTGGATCAGGCATTTATTTAATCAGGCTTTGGGAACTGCTTGGGTTCAAAATGTTGGCGTATTTGTTTGCTTAATCATTTCACTTCCCATTTGCTGCTGTGGGCAGTATCAGGCATGTGATGGGCCTCTTCCCACTTGAAGTGAATGAATCATTGAGCGGGAGTGTTGAGGTGTTAAAAAGTCAAGATGCTAACTTGATGGTAGATTTTACATAGATAATAGGAAATACATTCAAATATATATACTTATAGTAAAGTAAATGTGAACAAGAAAAAGACAGAGAAAAGAAGATAGAAAAAGAAAATTAAAAAACAGAATCTATCTGTCTGCCTGTCTATCATCTTCCTATCTTCAACAGTTATATATATAATTCTAATCAAACTTCTCTTTCCAAGATTTTATTATAATTCACTTCTTTCTACAACCTTTTCCTTACTTATCCTTTCTACGCATTGTGTGTACAACACATGTGAAAAAGGAGCAGAGCTTCAATCATGCAACCCTGGCCACCATCTTGACTAAAACACCGTACAGCCTCTCTCAGGAATGATGGACATTTAAAAAGTATCGCATTTCCTTCCCCCCTCAAATCTGGCTGCCATCTGCCTCTGATGCATAGTCTCCAGAAAAGACAAATTGGTGTAAGGTGTTCCTCACAGCTCCTACCATTCATATTCAGGAACATCCAAATCACATCTTGTCCTTTGAATTTTGATCTATGTACTGTACAATCCTAATATATAGCATACAGTCTTTTCCCTGTTCCCCCAAATGATGAAGTTAATAATATCTTTTTTGTTATTACAGTGATGACCATAACTTAAAAATCAAACTATTAATGACAAACTGAGCTGTAGAATCCCTTGATTCACATTAGTGTCTAAAAATGAAAGCCCCTTTAGTTTTAAAACAGATTGTTGCATTTCTGTTGGATTATGTTCTGCTTATTCTTAAACCATTTTACTTTGAGGTTGGGTTTCTGGCCTTTTAAAACTATGCTCTAGATTTTGAAAAATACTTTGCACATTTGCAAAATAATTGTGGCTACTGGGTAATATGAAAAACTAATTAAGTCACAGAGTTCACTCAACTTTTTTTCTGTATGTACACTGTAACACACTGGTTCTCAACGTTTTTAATGCCGCGACCCCCAACCGGTCGTAAGTCGAGGACTACTCAACCGGTCGTAAGTCGAGGACTACTCAACTGGTGCAGCACCGTTTGCAGAATGGGACTTTTGGCGGGCTCGGCAGGGCAGAGACAGCCTGGACAATTCCTATTGGCTTTTGAAAGCCAATAGAATTAGACTTTATTCAAGAGAGTCTATTCTATTGGCTTTCAAAAGCTAATAGAATAAAAGGGAGTAGCACAGCTAAGGAAAAGGGGGGGGGAGAATGGCGGACTGCGTTGTTTGGCAACCCCCATGAACTGGTCGTTTCACCCCAAATGGGGTCCCGACCCGCAGGTTGAGAACCACTGCTGTAATATAAATCTAATTTTTCAAGTAAATAAAACACAGATTAATTCCAACATCAGTTAAGCAGATTTCAGCCCAAGGAATAAGGTAACCTACTATTCTTCTGCTTGGCACATCTCTGTGTGCATACCCTAGTCTCCTCTGGAGTATCTCTAATCTTTTGAACAAATTATTCATAGTATGTTTAGGTGTGTGTCATGTATGTGTTTCACTTTGAGAGCGGGCAACTAAATTTCATTTTTGATGTGTGCCATTGTGCCCACAGTATAAAAATGACAATAAAGGTTATCTTATCTTATCTTAAATTTGGGAAATTATGGGCATGAGATTCAGATTCAGAACAATTGCTAGATTTGAAGTAGCACTATGAGTTACAACCCTAGGTCTCTTTTCAAAGTTTATTAAAACTCTGTGCCATTTGCTTGAAGAAGCAAATTGTATAGTAGCTACAAAGTACACAATTCTAAATTTGTTTGTTTGTTTGTTTGTTTGTTTGTTTGTTTGTTTGTTTGGCTACCCATCCCACAGCAGTAATTCTGGCAATTATACGGTACAAAACTAAAACAACACTTCCACAGTCCAAATAACCATGTCTAAGGTTAAAACAATAAACCCAATTGATCAAAAACTTCAACTAAAGTAGAATTGGAATCCCCACTGGATCTTTTTCCCTTCACTGAGTGCCCAAGTCTTGAGTCATGTCGGTTAATCCAGCCAGTAGAAGTAGCATTGGGCCTCTGCTTTG